CCCCTCCATCCCTCCATCCCCCTCCCCGTTCTGGAATCCGGACCCAGTTTGATTCAAACGCCCACGCCTCGGACCACGAGCCGTCGCTCGCTCGGTAGGCAGGCAGCCAGGCGTTGGGTTTTTAATCCCTCTTTCTCGGGCGCAGGCCAATCGCGCTTGCGCGACGGGACAGGACGCGCAGGCAAAAGCCGTTTCGAAATTTTTTATCAACCGTTTTTGCTTCTCCTTTGGGGGTCCCCCAAGCCCCGCTGCGCAGTTTTCGGCCAGAATGTCGAACTGCCGCTCGTCTTCTCTGGGTGGCGGTGCGCACCGCGAGGCAAACGTCTTTGTCCTCCATTGGGGGGCCCAAGACATGTGCCGCCCGCAGCGTCTAGGACGATACGCAGCAGAGCACCTGCCGTTTTCCCTTGTCCTCACATGGCGCTGCTTGTATATTCGGCGCACCAGATGCTGAGTATCGCCGCCGAAGCGCCGCCCGTCATGGGCTGGGTCTGCTGCTTTCAATGATTGGATCATGGCGGACGCGCTGTTGCCGTCGTCGAAGCTGTCACGTCTCGCAAGGAGCTGTCGTGGAAGCGCCGTCCAACTCGGCATGAAATAACTGCCTACCAAGCCGCTGCCTCCCTACCATGGTGTTGCCGCGCTACATGTCACCATGAATCTGGCGCGCTTCAAGCAAAGAGAAGGATCTTGCGCGTCGCTTGTGCTGCCCCCGGACGGTACGTTTGATGCATGCGGGCAGGGACAAGCCCGGGGCATTGCCATTCGCGGCCCCGGGGATGCGGTTGGTTCCAGCTTCCACGGGCCTTCTCGTGCAGCAAACCAATCTTCACCTCGCCAGCTGCCCTGGGCCCGCCCCTGTCCGCTGCCTCCCGGGCAGGCCAGGATCGCCAGCCCAGGCTCCCTGCCTCCTTCGTCGCAAGCTAGGGTCGCAATGGAAAGGAAGGGGAGGCGCCAGCGCGCCAACGGCCCCCAAAGCCGCTGCAGCGTTTCGAATCAAAGGAACGACGTGGTCCGGCATGGGGGGACCTGCTCGGCTAGGCACCCGCGAGAATGCCCCGTAAGTATGGACCATGAGGCGAACAAACACGTATACCTTCCCGGTGGTTGTACCTTACGTGTGCCGTCCGGGAACGGGAAAGAGAGAGTGATACTGCGGCAAACGCCAGCCATGATTCCTGACGGACAGGCCAGGGTTAGCTGCCGACCCCGGTCAGAAGGCGTGGAAGCTTGTTTGTTGAAAGCAATCATCGCCCCGTACCACCCACGAGACGAGACACGGCGAGGGAAGCAAGACGTCAGCGCCCCCGGGTCTCCCAGGGTCCTTTCCAGGTTCCCTCCTGGGCCGGCGTCAGCACCGCAGCAGCGAGCATGGAGCCCCGAGCGTTGACAGGCACCCTGGCCTCTGCTGTCCATCACTGAGACCGGCCATTGGCAGGGCAGGAGCAGCAACGGCCAGGGTTCGGTGCCTGTGGCTCACCGCTGAGGAAGCTGCCGTGCTGCATCAAACCCCCGCAAGCCGACCAGAGAGAGAGAGAGGCCTCTGAGAGTTGAGACTGACGAGGTGTGCCCCGCTGCTCGGTAAAGTACCTCACCCGTCTGCAATCTAGGCCGGTGTTGCAGAGTATCACGCACTGCCTGCGGTCTGGCTGCACGACACAAGCCCGCTCGTCTCGCCGTGCAGGCCGTGCAACCCGTGTTGTGTTGATGCGGGCAGCTCACTTTTGATGGGGAGGGAGTGCACACCTCCAGCCTCCAGCACCTCGTAGCTACAGTACCTCCGACGTCGTCTGCGTGTGAATCGATCGAGGCGGCTGTGAGGCATGGACCTCATGGCCCAAGTGGGGAGCCCGCCCTCTCATGCCGCCTTCATCAGCGCTTTCCATGCAAACAAAGACCCAGTCGTTCCAGCGTGCGCCACCGCTAATGACAGCTGGCGTGCCTCTTGCAGCCCAGCCCTGGAGCGCCAAAAAGGCCCCAGGCAAGCCCGCCCGGCGCACCTCACATTTTTTTTGCGCTGCGCCCACCTCCCACTAGGGCCCCTCGAGTGGTGCCACGGACGGCCCTGTGGTGCTGCTCCCACTGCAAGTCCCCAGCAGGGCCTGTCGCCGTAGCCGCCCCCGGCGGGCAACCAACGTGACGGGGGCCGCGAGTGACCAGCCCAGCCCAGCCCAGCCTCCACTGCCCTCCATCCATTCATCCACTGCATCCATCCCGTCAGGTCGGCTGCCTCGACTCAACCTGGGCTGTTCATCCACCAGACCAGACAAGCCATCCTGCCCTGCCCTGCCCTGCCACACCTCGCAGTGGACTGGCCGAGCAAGCAGCCTAACCTGGAAAGCCTCCACCTTCACTGGCTCCCGACGTTCGCCCGCCGCAGCGCCTTGTGGTGCCCGCTCCCGCTGCCCACCGCCAGCTGCCCGCTGACAAGCACTCGGCACCTCCCATTCATTCATTCATCCACCCATCATCCCAATCCATCCACATCCCCATCGCCAGCCTCCCGTCCTCCTTTCAACTACCACCGCCGCCATCCACCTCTCCCCGTCGCCACCTCTCCCCGACCTCATCCGCATCACGCCCACCGCGCGCTCCTCTCCGTGTCTTCTCCCTTGGCGGCACGCGCTGCGATAGAGACCCCCGCGCTCGCCTTCGAGCCTGCACCTCTTGACGGTCCAGCTCCACCCTAGGAGCTCTCCATCACGAGAATGACCGTCGTTGCGACCATCAAGTACGTCTGCCACCAAGCCGCCTTGTCCTGCACCTCCCGCCTCGCCTCGCCTCGCCTTGCCGCGCCGCGTTTCTCTCGTCCACCGTCGACCGCGACTTTGCACTGCGGCCTCACGCCTTCTCGGCTGACGACCGTGGCGCTGCCCTGGCCGCAAACCTTCCGCGGACCAGACGCACCTGTGTCTGGCGATGAGGTGACCGGCGACGGCGCCATTGCACAAAGAGCCTCCAGAAACCACATGACGCGGGCCCATGACCCCCGCATGCATGCACCTGGCTGACCATTGCGTTTACCTTCAGGTGCGTCGTCGTTGGTGACGGTGCTGTGGGCAAGACGTGCCTCCTCATCAGCTACACCACCAACAAATTCCCCTCGGAATACGTCCCGACCGTCTTTGACAACTATGCCGTCACGGTAATGTGAGTGGGCTCCCCCGTCCGCCCTTTTGTCGAGATGCGTAAACCCGGGGGCGGTCGTGTGCGATTATCGTCGCCGCAGGCAGTGCGGGTGACTGCATTCGTTCGGCGATTTGCCCGCGGCGTCGTATTACGTACATGCGACGACAACCAACATGCCTTGGCCCTGCGGCATCTTGTTCGAGCTGGAGCCTAATTGGTCGCAATAGGATTGGCGACGAGCCGTATACCCTCGGGCTGTTCGATACTGCAGGTCAAGAGGACTACGACAGACTCCGACCTCTCTCCTACCCGCAGACCGATGTCTTCCTCGTCTGCTTCAGCGTCACATCACCCGCCTCGTTCGAGAACGTCCGGGAGAAGTGGTTCCCCGAGGTCCACCACCACTGCCCCGGCGTCCCCTGCCTCATCGTCGGTACCCAGGTCGACTTGCGCGATGACCCCAGCGTCAGGGAGAAATTGGCGAGGCAGAAGATGACTCCCGTGAGGAGAGAGGACGGCGAGCGCATGGCCAAGGAGCTTGGCGCTGTCAAGTACGTTGAGTGCAGCGCGCTCACACAGTTCAAGCTGAAGGATGTGTTTGACGAGGTATGCCGATCCCACTGTTGGAAGTGTCTGGATGACGATGGGAACTGACAGCGATGACAGGCGATTGTTGCTGCGCTTGAGCCGCCCATGCCCAAGAAAAAGTCACACAAGTGCCTCGTCCTATAAACGGACGTTACGAAGAAATTAAACAAACAAAAAAAAGAGCGAAGAAGCCAACAGACATGTCGACATACACAACCATTTCCGCCTAACTGTGAAGAGACTAGAGGGAGAAGATTTACCGGCGAGCCGGCGACGAAGCATGGGCGGAGTTGGAGACCGGGATGCTCGACGGACGACGTACCCATGGCATGGCCTCTGCCGGATGGGGCTGCCGTGCTCCTGCGGATGGCTCTAGCCCGCTATAACGAGGTGTGGGCTGTCGAGAGAGACGAAAGTGGCACAAGGGGTGCAGGTGCCGTTTGGGCACGCACGGGGTTGGATGAATCCGTCTCGTCTTTGGGCTTGCCTGCCTGCCTAGCCACGGTGCGGCGTTGCCTTTGAGGCGGTGTGTGGTGGAGGCAGGGGTGGATGAGATGCCTTGCCTAGCTGTTTCTCGATACTCTTTTTTGTTTTGGGGCGAGAAGATTTGACAAGTTCAGGGCAGGGCTGCTTCGATAGGATCAGTTTGGCGATTGGAGTGCAATCACATCGACGGTTTGTTTTTGTTCAGCCGAGTTGCCCTGCCCTGCCCTGCGCGCCCGCTGCGTCCTGTTACTGCTCGTTGGCTTGGTTGTCATCCTGTTTTGTAGCGAGCGAATAGACGAGCAACTCACGCGAGACGGTGAGAGACGGGCGGTTATTGATACTGTGAACGGAGCCGAGGAGAGTCCCCGACGGCGCAACGGGTGCAAGCATGACAATCGATGAAGGTCCCAGCCGGTCCGGCTCCGCCCTCTCCAACTCCAGGACTTATAAGTGTATTCTCGCCGGCAACCCCCAAGCGTGCGTCGGAGAGCCTCTTACGTACAACGATGGCTCGGGTGCCGGGTTGTCCGTTGTCCCTGGCCGCGCTTTTATGGGGATCGATGTCGGAGCAGCCCGGTCTGCGCCAGTCTTTCCCGGTGAAGGGGAAGGAGGGTCCAGCCTGGCCGGCGAGCGGCTCGACCTGGCCTCGCACGACAGATGCGCGGTACGACCACAGCTACAGAGGGCGCGCGCGTGCCCGGAAAAGGGTGGACACTCGATCTCTCATTACTACCTGCCACCCCGTCCTTGTACGTACGTAGCACTCTCTGCCCGACGTCGCGGCAGGCGTTCGTCCCTCCGACGGGGTGGGCGGCGGTTCCAGAAAACCACATCAGCAGAACTGGAGACTTGCACTTGGAATGCCCCGAGGAAGCGGGCTGGGCCCCGCAAACGGGCGCCCGATTGGGGCAAAGTTCGCGGGGGCTTTGGGGCTTGTCTTGTCCCGTGGGTGGGATGGACGGGCGTGGCAAGCGTGGATGAGGCCGGAACTGTGGAGGGGAGGGGGATGGAGGGGCACCACCTCGTGGAGCTGCTGCAGAAAGGCAGTTCAACCACCCAAGTGCGCCCCCCATGTTCAGTGCCGGCCCGCCCGCCGACGCCGGCCGTGGGTTGCTGCTGCTGCTGCTGGGCAGGTCGGCGTCCGCGGGTCCTGGACCCGACCGACCATGGCAGACAGCGCGACGGGCGGGACTCGTTATTTATTGCGAGGTGATAAGCTGCTGGAGCTCCTCCCCTTCGGCGAACTCTTTCTTCTTCCTCTGGATTTTGCAAGAAGTCGCCTTGTTGTTGGACTTTGTTTGATACCCCCCCAACGCGAGTGCAGCATCCATCGTCACGAGCTAAGCCAACCTACACGCTCACGCACACCCTCTCGCGCAGGACATGAAGTCGGCAGCGCTCGTGAGCCTGCTCCTCTGGAGCGGGCTGTCTGCGGCGTGCGGCGGGCACGGAGACCATGATGGCAAGGAATGGACAAAGGAAGAGCTCGACGAGCTGGAGGCGAAATGGGGCAATGAAGTGAGTGCCAACGCCTCTTAGAGCAGCTTGAGCTTCGAGCGACTTGCCCGGCCCAAGTGTTGACTTGATGAACCTCCAGTGGCCCTTCTCTGGCATCGGATCGTTTGCGCACCTGAGCCACTCCAAGTGCCTCACTGATCCCACGGTGGACTATGATATTGCCATTGTTGGCGCGCCGTTCGACACGGCCGTCTCCTTCAGGCCAGGTTCGTACCCAGCATATTTGCGGCCGTTAAGAGAATGTACAAAGCTAACAAGCTTCGCCAAGGTGCTCGCTTCGGTCCGCGAGCCATCCGCCAGGCCTCCTCCCGCCAGACAGGTTTCCGCGGCTTCAACCCGCGTGCGAGCATCAACCCCTACCAGAACTGGGCCAAGATTGTCGACTGCGGCGACATTCCCATCACGCCCTTTGACAATGACATCGCACGCGAGCAGATGACGCAGGCTCTGAAGCAGCTGGGCAAGGGCAAGACAGTCTCGGCGCTGAGCCCCAAGCCCAAGCTCATGACCCTGGGTGGCGACCACAGCCTGACGCTGCCGGCGCTGCGGGCACTAAAGGAGATCCACGGGCGACCCGTTCGTGTGCTTCATTTCGACGGTGAGGCTACCCGCATCAGAGCCTTTAGTGTGCGGACCCCTTGCTGACCGATGACTTTGACGGGTAGCCCATCTCGATACTTGGAACCCCAATGCCTACCCCTCGTACTGGGGAGCGACGCAGTTCACGCATGGCTCCATGTTCTGGATGGCCAACCAAGAGGGCCTTCTCTCCAACTCGTCTACCGAGGCCTCAGTGCACGCTGGCCTGCGGACGCGCCTCGGCGGCACAGCATGGGCGGACAACGAGGACGACTCATCGCAGAACTGGGTCCGCTTTTCGGCCGACGACATGGACGATATTGGCACGCAGGGCATCATCGACGGCATCATGCGCGTGCTCGGCACCGAGGACCCTGTGTATCTGTCGGTGGACATCGACGTGCTGGATCCGGCATTTGCGCCCGGCACGGGCACGCCCGAGCCCGGCGGCTGGACGACGCGCGAGCTGATCCGTGTGCTGCGTGGCATTGAGGGCCTCAACTTGGTGGGCGCTGATGTCGTCGAGGTATCGCCCGCGTACCAGGGCAGGGGCGAGGAGACGGCGCTGGCGGCAGCTCAGGTCGTCTACGAGCTGCTGAGCTCCATGGTCAAGCGTGGCATGAAGGAGATGGGCAAGGAGGTGGTGCCCGAGGCGAAGCAGAAGCTGCTCAAGGCCTACGAGAAGAGCAACGGCAAGGACGAGTTGTGAGGCCTGACATGGAATGAGGCTGTACCTGCCCTGTAGCAGCACGTGTTATGATAAGAGGGTGCATTAGACGCATGGGGAAGGAGTTGCTTCGGTGAGGCGGTTGTTGTAGGCGGTGTGCTAGGTAGAGTCACTCGCTCGGAAGTTTGGAGGGAGCATCGGAGAGGTAAAGGAGCGTTGTCTGTGCAAGATTGACACGAAAAGAAAGTGTATTTGATCAAATTGAACGATGACCTGACCTTTTCGCCAAGATGAGCAATACGGCGTCTTGCGGCGGTCGTGCCTGCCACTGCCCGAGCGGTCCCTGATGTTCGCCTCTGAATCTTATCGGGGTTTCAGCGGCCGAGCGCGGCGTGGCGCGGCAACGGCCATGGCAATTGCACGGGGACTGACTCACTAAAACGAGGTACGTACCTAATCCGGGCAGACATCCCACCTCCAATCTGGCAGTCGCAGCCCACCACCAACCAATTTATGAACCCCGCCATCCCACCTCGTCTCGAATTTCTTGCCAGACCGACTCGACTCGACAAGCTGCCTCCCACCTTATCGCCCGCTCTCCCTAATCGCCACAACGACGCACGGCACCTGGAAAAGCGAGTCCACCATGGCGGCAGTGCAGGAGCTCGCTGAGCGAGTCAAGGGCGACGACAAGTTCTACGTCGACACCGACGCCGGCGCCGACGACCAGACGGCGGACGGCTCCGAGGCCAAGCCCTTCAAGACGCTCGCCTACGCCTACATCCACAACACCGGCCGTCCGACTGCACAATACCTCACCCGCGCCTCCGTCACCGGAGCCATTGGCCCGGACGAGGACCCCTCGGCGCGATTGGCGTGGAAGGCGCCCGCCAAGAGTGCCGTCAAGAAGGCCCAGGGTGCCCTCGACGCCCACAAGAAGAAGCTGGCCAAGCAGGAGCAGGCCAAAGCCGCTGAGGAGGCCCAAAAGAAGCAGCGCCTTGAAAACCTTGAGGCTGCTAAGAAGATTGTTCTCAAGGAGGACCCGTCGCTTCCCAAGGCCGTCAAGATCACCATTGACAACAAAAATGTCGAGCTCGGTGACGGCGCCGACAAGAAGGGTGCCCGCGTTAAGGTCTCGGGCCGCATCCACCGACTGAGGCCGCAAAAACAGGCGACCTTCATCACCCTCATTGACGGTGGCGGTCACCTGCAGTGCGTGTTGCAGGCCGGAGATCTTACCAAGACGTACGATGCCCTGACGTTCGCCCAGGGCACGTCCATTACGTTGTACGGCGAAATGCGCAAGGTTCCCGAGGGCCAGCAGGCGCCCGACAACCGCGAGCTGCACGTCGACTTCTACGAGGTCATTGGCACCTCTCCCAGCGATGAGGACGCCATCACCAACAAGGTCTCGTCGGCCCAGAACCAGTGGGATGCTCAGATGCTTGACAACCGACACCTGGTGCTGAGAGGAGACCATGCTGCGTCCGTCATGAAGTTGCGCGCTGGCGTTGAGTGGGCTTTCGTCAACGCCTATCATGAGATGAAGGTCACTAAGGTTTCGCCGCCTGCTCTCGTCCAGACCCAGGTCGAGGGCGGCGCCACCCTCTTCAAGGTGCCATACTACGACGAGGAGGCCTTCCTGACGCAGTCGTCTCAACTTTACCTGGAGACGGCAATCCCCAGCCTGGGCAGCGTCTACTGCATCGAGAAGTCGTTCCGCGCTGAGAAGAGCCTGACGCGTCGTCATTTGTCCGAGTACACACACGTCGAGGCGGAGCTGGACTATATCGACTTCACCGACCTGCTGGAGCACCTCGAGGAGATCATCTGCCGCGTCATCGACAAGGTCCTGGAAGATGCCGAGATGGCGGCAATCCTCAAGGAGCTTAACCCTGGCTTCACCCGACCCTCGCGTCCCTTCATGCGCATGAAGTACGCCGACGCCATTGATTGGCTCAACAAGCAGGAGCCGCCCATTCCCAACGAGGACGGCAACCCTCATGTCTTTGGCGATGACATCGCCGAGGCCGCTGAGCGCAAGATGACCGACGCCATCAACCGGCCTATCTTCCTGACGCACTTCCCCGTCGAGATCAAGGCCTTCTACATGAAGAAGGACCCCAGCGATCTCCGCGTTACAGAGAGCGTCGACTGCCTGATGCCCGGCGTGGGCGAGATAGTCGGTGGATCAATGAGAATGGAGGGTTATGACGAGCTGCTCGCGGCGTACGACAAGCAAGGCATCCCGGCCAAGGATTACTACTGGTACACCGACCAGCGAAAGTGAGTTTGAAAATCCCATTTTCCGATCAAAGCATTGCGTGCGGACGGACGCTAACAGGCTCGGCAGGTATGGCACTTCGCCGCACGGTGGCTACGGCCTGGGTCTGGAGCGTTTCCTGGCCTGGATGGCCAACCAGCACACGGTGCGAACGACATGTCTGTATCCCCGCTTCATGGGGCGGTGCAAGCCTTGAGTAGATAGGCAGGTCGGTGACGGTCGGCATGGACGCGTCGTGGAGCATGTAGGGTAGATACTAGGAATCGAGCTGATTGTTGCCGTGGCGATGGCATAGTTATATAAGAGCTGTCTTATAGATGAAGAAAATGAGGTCTTGATAGTTGCGGTGCCTGGTCTTGTGCGCTGATAATAAGTCTCCGCATTCATGCCTGGAGATGCTCCCATATGAGAGTGGCGTTATTCGCACAAATAGGAAAGGCTAGTCGCACAGATGTTCCTCATTTTTCTGGGGCCGCTTCGGCCATTTTTGGTATGAAGACATGGTACGGCAGCGGTGGGCGGCGTGTTCATGGTTGCTGTCGTCGCTGCCATCTGATGTACTTACGGCGGCTCCCGTTCTGGCCCAGTCCTACGCACCTTATTTGTGTGTCGCCGGCCGTGGAACATCTGTGCGAACAGCACTATTCCCAGACTAAGGTACGCTGCGTTTCAGGATGCCGACATGGCTTGAGATGGGGACCGCATCACCAAAACAGTATTGTGGGTTTTCGCGTTTCCTGAGACACAGTCGTTGCCTTCCTTTCTGGCAAGGAGAGCATGTAATCCACCGACAGGGCCGGCCATCACCCGAGGCTCGAGCCGTCCCTCCATCTCGCCAAGCAAACGAGGCAATCACGCAGGGGGAACGGCGCACCAGCGTCGCCGTGCGTCTTGCCCCGTTGTTTGCCACGATGCCCCATTTCGCAGTCTGAAGTCAAATGTTGAGTCTCCTTGCGCATCTTGGCCTGAATGTAAGGCATCGCGTTGGCGAGCGTGACAAAAATAAGAGGACGTCCTGTTGACAAGTTGTATCCGGGGGAAAGGGGTGAGTAAGTGAGTGAGTGAGGGTGGACGGCGAGCGTGCTTGCATGCATGCGCGTGCCACAGCACCGCTTTAGGCAAGGCTTGTTGTCCATGATCTGCAGAATGGGGACTCTTTCTCGCGTGGAGTATTTCGTGAACGTACGTAGCACGAGCAGGTAGGTAGGGATGTGGTGCCTGCGGTTCTCGGGCGTGCGCGAGGAAGGGGTCTCCGTTTCGTAGCGTGGAGACGTTGCATGCATGATTGTCTTTTCCGTGCATGCTTCTCCTTCTCGAAGTTTTTGATGCCGCCATGGCCCATGGCTATTCATGGGCGCGACAGCCTGGGGTTAAGGCTTTTCAGGTCCGTCCCCTGAACCAGCATGATACTCCAATGTGCGACGGCCATGGCAACACAGCATCGTGAAGGTGTCGCCTCTAATAATCGTAGCCGCGGGTGCTGGCGCGAGAGAGGCCCGCCTGGCTGTGAAGGTCCGGTCTAGGCCCCGGGATGGCAGCGAGGTGCATGACGAGCGCGCCGCCAGATTGCCCACCGACCGCCCTGGCGCCTCGTTTTGAGATTGGCCCGCGTCTGGCGTGATGATACCGTACTCGATCACGGGCTATGAGGATGTGGTTGAAACCGCCCGCGCGCGAAACACGAGGCCAGTTCGTGGTAATACAGAGAGCATTAACATCTGGGAGCATTGCCTCCGTTAACGAAATCAGGGTAAAACGCAACTTATGCCGAGCCCCGTGTGCTTTGCTGATCCGTGTCCAGGATGGACACGGAGCAGGGAGCTATCCTGCATAATAAGCGCCGTCTCACAGCAAGAGCGGTTGACGAAGCTCCCGATCACGCCCACGAAGCGCCTTGGTGCACCCTGGCATCGTGCTTGCCTCGCAGCTCGACGAGGGGCGGCGCAAAGACGGCAGCATCGATCACGGCTGATGAGCGGGCAAATGGGCCAAGGACCGACAGCGTCTGCGGCAGCTCATGCAAAGCAGAAGGCGATTCCCCGCCGCGGGTGGGGTCGTGCGTGAGCGCGTGCATCGCAATCAATTTAATCAATCCCCCCGGCAGCCATTGGCGCCTTTTTTGGAGGGGAGGGCTGTCTCGTACCTGTAGGAACGAATGGAAAGGGTGCCGCACACGTGCGGACCAGACGAAGTACTCGTACAAGCTGCTCCGATGAACTGGCAGGCTTTGCGCGAAGCGAGCGGTTTTTGCTCCTGGTTCAGCGAACAAGAAACGAGCTGCCTGCAAGATTGCTGTCTTGTCCGTGGATAACACGGGGTCTTATTAAGCAGCGCAGGGGTGGCGGCAAAAGCTCACCCAGGGGTGCCAGGTTATGGAAGGGGGACAAGGGCGGAGTTGCAAAAATGCATTGCTCATGGGAAAGTGACCGTGTGCTCTTGTCTCGCCATGCACTCTTCCCTCCCATGGTTTTCGACTTTTGCTGGCGACTGGAGGACCTTCAGCGGACGCTCCCGCAGGGGGCCGACGGCGACCCTGGGTGTCGTGCAGATGAGAGAAGCACGCGTGGAGACGGCCATCGGAACGAAGCCGAGAGCTGACGGGGCAGCAAGCCGCCGTCCTTTGGAAACCAGGCTCAATGTACTCGCTACTAACAGATCTGTCGTCTTGCACGCAGCAAAAGATACAAGAGCTTCGCATGAGCACCCGACATGTACGGGTACATTTTACACAAACGACGAACATGCTCCCGTTGCCGCTGGTCATTGGATCCCTGCCAGGGGTTCATTAAACTGTCAGCGCACACTCGTCCCCTTTGGGCAACCGGCCATCCACGCACCACCCCTTTTCCCCTTCTGGCGGGGCGGGCAGTTGTGTGGTGCCTTCCTCCTCCCCCCCGCCCCTCCCAAGGTTCCCTGGGCTCGACGCGCTGGAAGGTTAGGTTCACGTCGCTGGCGGCGCCCCCGGCAGGCGGGCTGGGCTGGGCTGGGCTGGCGCTGGCCACTGGCAGCGCGGTGCCTGGCTCAGGGTGTCCCGCCCGCCGGGCCCTGTAATTGTGGTTCCCGCTCGCCTGCCACCGGCGCGCCCGTCCATTGGCCCGCCCGCTGGGCCCCGACGTCTCCCGCCGTTCTCCCCCAACCCAACCAACCAGCGCCCGCCACCGGCGCCTCCATCTCCCCAAACCCCCTCAAAAATGGGCTCACGCCAGGGGTTGGCCACGGCTGCGCTGCGCTGGCTCGCCTGGCAGCAGTGGGAAGAAAGCTTGAGGTGGCCGGGCGGGCGTCGTCTGCGGCCGTGGCCTGGCCCTGCATGCCGTCTCATTCATTCATTCAGTTATTCAACTCACCCACTCTCGGTCGGCCAGTCAATCAATCGACCGGATCGAAAATGGTGGGCTGGTGGACTCTCCTGGATGTTCCCCCTCGTTCTCTCCCCCCCAGCGCAGAGTCGGATGCAATGCAAGTGAGAGGCACCTTAACCTTATGCGCTGAGGCACGGAGGTCCTAGACAGAGGCACTCGCAGAAACGTTGCTCCACGGAATGTCGTGAAAGAAAAACGCGAACCGCCTCTGCCTGTTCCGAGGGCGCTGATGCTGCTGCTCGCCCTCGCTGCCAGTCCCGACGGCCGTCCGTCTGGGGTGGCCGCCAGCCACTGGCAGGTATTGTGTCCTGGTACCCCGTCCACTGGAAATGCTCGCCCACTGGACGACTGTCCACTGACCGGGGGGGGGGGCGTCTTAGTTGCATTGTCCCTTATTTTTTGACCCCCGAACCGGCTCCACACCCCCATCTCGACACCTCGTCTGGTGCCTTACTCGACCTCGCGCCGCACTGCTCTCGCGCTCTCGCGTGTCTTTCTTCCTCCTCCTCTCCTCCGCCTCCTCCCCTTCCTCGCTCTCTACTCCATACACCTGCGAGGTGAGCCTCAGGCCGACTACAATTCATCTTCCCTGCCCCGTCGACCCTGTCCGCCGCCCGCGAATCTTGCTACGCATCATTGCTTCGTCCTTTCTCGTCCTCGTTCCTCAACCGTTCGGCCTCCTGTGAGCTGTTGGCACCCCCCTGCTCCTCCAGATGCTGTTCCCGAGCGAGGCCAGCTTTTGAGACGCACATCATCTTCTTCGACACTTATCGACGCTCGTTCCGCCTATTTTAATTACCTCTTTTTTTTGGCTCCGCTGCCTACGTCCGTTGCTCACGAGACCCCCCGTTTTCGAGGGACCCTGGTCATTGCATCTCGCAGTCCTTCTCGACCTCGATCACCGGCTTTCCTTTACCCTTCGACGCTCTCGCTCAACCCAATACCGGCCGCGCCTTGTATCCTTCGACAAGCATCTTCCACGTCACCTCGCTTTCTCCAGAAGAAACTTGCCGGCTTGCCGCTCTAGGATTCTTGCTCGCCTTGGCGCTCGACCGTTTCTGTTGCCTTCTCGGGATCCGATTCATCGTCCAGCCCGCCGCTTGTATCCAACAGCTTTACATTTGCATACATACATACATATTTGAGCTTCCAGCTTGCTCGCGGCAGTTTCGACTCGGATACCTCTGGCAGTCTGCTCGTCTGGTTCGACGACGGTCATTGTCACCTTGCCTTGACCGGCTCACGCAGCAGCCTGGTTTCCCCCCTTGCTCGCCCGATTCGACTTTGCGACTCCCTGCACTCTAGCTGGAGCCACGAGCCGTCTTTCGCGTCTGACAACTTTCGTGCCTCCTCCAGGCACGTCCAATCTTTCAAAACGGCGGTCCTATCGCATTCCGGGCGGGACTCGCTCGTCCCCCCTCACCTTCTAGGGATGCAGGACCTCAACGCACCCGTCGGCCAAGGTGGCCCCAATCCTAATGGCCCCGGCCGTTTCCAGGGCCATGCTTCCAAGCCCTCCAATAGCGACACTGGTTTCTCACATGGCGCCTTCACCTCGAACATCTCGGGCTTTGCCGACCGCCATCCTCGCCGAGGCAATGTCCCTTCGCTGAACACGCAGGCCATGGGCCACCAGAACCAGCCGGGTTCTCCCTCCAATGCCGGTGACCTGGCCAGTCCAGGCACCGCTTTTGACATGCAGTTCACTCCTCTTCTCCCGTCCCAGCTCCTTCTCGGAAGCCCTTTCCAGCCCGGGAGCCCCGCTGCCTTTGGCAGCCCGCAGTTCCAGAGTCTGCCAGGATTCCAACAGGCCGGCCAGCAGCATGGGGGCAACCAGGGCCACAGCGGCGGAGTCTCGAGCCCTATTCAGCAGAGCATCTCTCCCCAGCCGTACCAGACGATGGTGTCTCCTTCGACCTATGGAGCACCGCAGTTCTTCCCTCCCCAGTCGCCCACGGGGGGCTTCAATATGCAGGCTCCCATGCAGCCCGCGTCTCCCGTGTCCATGGGGTCCGGCGTCGTAACCGGCACCAGCCGCACAGTGTACCTCGGCAACATCCCTCCTGACACGTCGGCCGAGGAAATTCTAGGACATGTCCGCAGCGGACAGATCGAGTCTGTGCGCCTTCTGCCCGACAAGAATTGCGCATTCATTTCGTTCCTCGACGCCAGCTCCGCCACCCACTTCCACTCGGATGCCATCTTGAAAAAGCTCTGCATCAAAGGTCAGGATATCAAGGTTGGCTGGGGCAAGCCATCCCAGGTCCCTACATCCGTGGCCCTGGCTGTACAGCAGTCTGGCGCGTCTCGCAATGTATACCTGGGGAACCTCCCGGAAGACATCACCGATGCCGAGTTGCGCGAGGACCTGGGCAAATTTGGCGTCATTGACACTGTCAAGATTGTCAGGGAGAAGAACATTGCGTTCGTCCACTATCTCTCCATCGCCAACGCCATCAAGGCTGTCTCTCAGCTCCCCCAGGAGCCGAAGTGGCAGGCACCTCGTCGTGTCTTCTACGGCAAGGATAGGTGCGCCTACGTGTCCAAGACACAGCAGCAGAACGCCGCCCAGTACCTGGGGATCGCCCCTGGATATGCGCACATGTTGACCGGGGCCGATCGCGATCTAATTTCTAACGCCCTCGCCCAGCAGTCCGTGGCCGCCGCGGCCGTCGCCACCACTGCTGGAGGCATCAACAACTTGGGAAACCGCACCATCTACCTGGGCAACATCCATCCCGAGACGACCATCGAAGAGATTTGCAATGTGGTCAGGGGCGGTCTGTTACACCACATCCGTTACATCCCCGACAAGCATATCTGCTTCGTCACCTTCATTGACCCAACTGCGGCCGCTTCTTTCTACGCCCTCAGCAACCTGCAAGGCTTGATGATTCACAACCGACGACTCAAGATCGGCTGGGGTAAGCACTCCGGTGCGTTGCCCCCGGCCATTGCCCTTGCTGTAAGCGGCGGCGCCTCCCGCAACGTCTACGTTGGCAACTTGGATGAGACATGGACCGAGGACCGTCTGCGTCAGGACTTCTCTGAGTTTGGCGAGATCGAACTGGTCAATACCCTCCGGGAGAAGAGCTGCGCATTCGTGAACTTCACCAACATTGCCAACGCCATCAAGGCGATCGAGGCAATCCGCGGCAAGGAGGAGTACAGAAAGTTCAAGGTCAACTTCGGCAAGGACCGCTGCGGGAACCCGCCTCGACAGATGCAGCAGAATCAGTCGCCTCGAGGCGACGGAGTCTCTTCCCCCCCGCCCAATGGGTCGCAGAACAGCAGCTCCCCGCCGAATGGCCCTCAGCAGTCGGCCGTATTGTTCAACGCCAACAATAACCCGCTCACCATGTACCTCAGCCAATTGTCCCAGCAGGTCCAGCACCAACAGCACCAACAGAGCCAACAGCAGCACCCAATGCACATGCAGCAGCACCCGCTCTTCCACGCAGCACAGGCGTCGCCCAATGATCTGTCTCTTGATGTGCCGCAGCAAGGCCACATGAGTGGTCACGGCCAATCCGCCAGCATCTCGAATGGGTATGCTGCCGCGGCCGCGGCCGCCTCGGGTGCAACCACCATCGGCGGTTTGCTCGCTCCCGGACCACGAGGTCAGCACAGCCGTGCGGTCAGCCTTCCGGTTCTGGCCCCTGGCTTCGAGAACGGCGGCAATAGCCCCGGCAGCGTCCCGGGCAGCAACGGAAGCGAGGGTGAACGTCGCGGCCACCACTACCAGGCTAGCTTTGGAGGAATGGGGGCCGGCGGCTTTGGGCTGGCTATTCAGGGTGGACTCAACGGATGGGTTGAGGAAGAGGTGGCCAACTAATATCACAGCAGCCCTGAACGACATGAGAATTTGTACTCGTTGTAATTGAACAGGGGTCGTCTGTCCTTTTTGCTTATTCAGTCGGTTCCTTTCTGCACACACCTTACTTTACGTTTTTTTTTTCGTCTACTCTTTTTCTTGCACATTCTGATAATAGTCTCCTTCCGTTCCGTGTATGATGGTGGGTCGTCACTCAGGATGTCAAGATGAGAGGGTATTGCATCCTAAGAGCGGAAGGGAATGGAGGGATGGAGATGTCAAGGCCGCCGGATCCCACTACAAGGATTGCGGCTGGATGGAAGCAGGGCCACAAGAGATGGGAACGCGGGGCCAGGATTCCTTGGGCACTGGACGGAGCTGAGGACAGGTTGGCCATATCGGAGGGAATGAAGGGTCTGGCCAAGGGTAGCCAGGGCTGGACGATCATGGCCTGCGAGCTATGATCCGGAAAGCTGGGAAATAGTACGTAGTAGCATGATTAACCGGAAGACATGCGGATTGGTCACACGTTGATCTTCATTGGTATCTCAAGTGACAGACTATGCATGACTTTGGCCCAATACCCTCTACCAACACCACAACTCCTGTATACGAGTGCTCACTACAGCCAATTCCTGAGTAACGTCCGACCTGTATCATGTCAACAGCTCACCCCGAGGCTAGAACCCAGCAGGTTCCTCCTTGGCTGGGAATGCCGGTGCCTTGACATTGGCGCGGCACTCGGCCTTCCAGTTGCGAGGCGTGAACTTGTCTACGATGGACTTGAACGCCTCCTATACGCGATCAATTAGCAAAGATTCAGAGTCGTCCGGGGTGGCCAAGGAGGGGATGGAGTATTACCAGTGTGCAGAACGACTCGTCGCCCTCAAGGTGTTTACCCGCGGCCTTGCACCCGGGCACCGTAACGGGCTGGTCGTTGTAGCGAACGCGGACGTAGTAGCCCTGGAGCTTGGCCCTTTCCGCATCGCTCAGGTCGCTGGTGGGCTTGCGACCGATGCCGGAGGGTGGCTCTCCGGCGCGCGAGCCGCCCAGAAATGAGGGCAGCCACGAGGATAGCTGCGAGGCTGACTTGGACGAAGCTGTGGGTGCCGGAGTTTCGGCGTGGCGGAAGAGCTCGATGGCGATGTGGCTGGTGAACGGTGGCCATGCATCCGTGTTGAAGGCGCCCAGACTGGACAGGGCCGCGGCAAGAGTTGTGTCGTGGCAGCCGCTCAGCCCGAATTGCACGGGCCTCGTGGCACCGGGGAGGCGGGACTTGGACGTTACCTCATATCGTCCATCTGCTGTGGTGTGCTCGGCGCTCCCAACCATGCGGGAGACAACATCAGCGAGCAGGCCACCGATGCCGAGAGTGCGGTACTCGCGGTTCTCCTTATACCCGGCAAACCATTCCTCAACACCAATCTTCTCGACGATCTGCTTGACTTTGGGGTCATAGAACTCGCTCGGCAATCTTGTGTCCGGGCCATGGGCCTTGGTGGCGTTGATTGTGTCCATGATGCCGCTGAGTCTCGGACGCGCATCAACGGCAACCTTGGGACTGTCGTCGGGCATCCACTTGCCGAGTCTCTTATTCAGGAAGGCCATATCATCCGAATCGTTCCAGCGATCCGCAGCTCGCTGCGCAAATGCTCGCGACAGGGCAGCGAATCGCCGACAGTTGCCGTCATTGGGGAACAGCGTCTCGTCAGACGGCGTGCGGGCGAGGACCATTGGAGGAGGCAGGTCCGGGGCGCGGGTGTGCGGTGGGTATAGGCCGTGGAATGTCTGCTGCATAGACTCCAGGGCTCGAGGAATTGGAGTGGCACGAAGGTACAGAAAGTCGGTATCCTTGATGCCCGCAGGGAGGAAGCCAAGCTGGTCGACATAAAGCCTCCGCAACCTCTGGCCAAGCTCGAGCGTAGTCTCGCGGCCGCGGTCCGTGAGCATGCCCATGTCGCACATCCCGTCTAGCTCGCCCTTGGGGCCGGCGGCGACGACGGCAGCATCATTGGCACCAAATGTCTCGAGACGGCGCTTCCATTCAAAGGTGGAGAAGGGTTTGCCCTCGGCGGCGGCAGTGGCGGCCGGGTCGAGGATGGCGGAGCGCAAGTTGCGAAAGGAGGAACAATAGGGCCAGAAGGGCGCCAGGCCGGTATTTGTGAAGCGAGCATTGACCGGGGTGCGTTCGCCATGACGAAGAAGAATCTGGACCTGCTGAAGGCGGAGCTGAGGGGGATACAGGGCGGCCAGCTCGGCATCCGTATAGGGCGGTCTGGGTACGAGGGTGGACATGGCTGCTGCTGAACGTCACTGTGTGTGACGATGGCCGAGGTTGAGGGTGGTGCAGAGAGTCGAGTCGCTACTTGCGCATGGACAGTGCGGGCGGCTGCGCGGAAGCTGGGAACCTCTTCAATTGACCAGTATGGCACAGAAGCCGTCAAGTGAAGCAACAGAGTAGATGACCAAATGCAGTCACAGCTCCGCGTCACGGCGTCGTGGGCCGACAAGAGCTCCCTTCGGCGGTCCGTCGTTGGACCGGCTTCGGGGCCCAGTGACGAATGACGTTTGCGCGGGGCCTCGAAGTGGGACTGCAAAGGGCCTGAAAGACGCTGAAGAATGCGGTGCATCGCGCCCTCCACATCCGCCGTCGGCGCCGGGTCGTGCCTGCCGGAGTCGTCCCCATTTGCCAGGAGCAGTTTGCTAGCTATGGAGCCGTCCGACGTGTTTCTCGGCCGCGCCCTGCCCGTAGGCTACGCCAGCGAATTTTTAGTATGCAGGCACAGGACGATAGCGGTGCTCTGCCTATTGCTGGTAATTTGCTACTGTTCGTACGAAGTACTGATATTGCTTTCGTTGCCGTCGTTGCTGCTGCCGCAGGCCAGACTCTACAACTGGCAAAACATTGGCTCTACGGATTAGCACTGCTCTTTGCCAGTCGTCAAGGGGGCCAGCCTAGAGTACGTACTCGAAACGAACTCCATCCACGGCGGTGCAAACCGCCTGCCCGCGGAGCGGAGCGGTCGGGGAGGGCAGGTGCGGAGGACAAGGGAGCTGCAAGCCACCCCGGGCAAGTTGACCAGTGACCACCACGGCCCCAACTTCCCAGCGGGCAAGAGTCGGTCTTTTATCCACTTCATTAACAATCCAACACGCCTGGCAACATGGTCGCGTACCAAGAGCATCTCGAACGGCCAAAACTTCAGCTGGCCAACCCGCAGTGTCCGCCCGGACAAAGCGCGCCCCGGATCATGCGCAGCAGCGGCTTTCACGTGCGAGACCCGCCCCTGACGGAGCTTGCCCCATCGCGGCCGCTCGACTTGCCGTGAAGTGGCCCAGTTGAGAGCCCATGGCCGGGGTCGGGGTCGGGGTCTCGGGGTCGATAAGAAGGGCCGAACATCGTCGTCGCCATGACCACCAGCCTCTTGCGATTGTTGGACGAAACGCGCGACGGCAAGATGATGGAAACAACAAGACATCGGCCGCCTCGCCCCAAAGTAGGGAATCAGCAGCCTGCAAGTAGCTCACAGTCTGAGCGCCCCATCAGCACGGCGGGGTGCGCCAGCCGCCAGAGCTCACCCAGCGCGCTAACCACCAGCAGTATTCCCTTCGGGCGGCCCGTACTGCCAGCCTGAGCAGTTTGTCCGGTCCATGGAATGGATGTCGCATTCGGGAAGTTGCCTAACTGGACACCACCCACGGCTCCAGCGCGGCTTGGAGCCAGTCCGGGAGGCTCGGAGTGGCGGCGGCGCCTGAACAGCCGCCCGCCGTCTCTTCAGCCCTCTTTTTCTGGGGTCGAGCCGCCGTTTGTGCCGAGTTTGGGCAGAACCCGACCCATACGAGCCCATTGATAAACCAGCAAGCTTCTGCTCTCCGTCACGGCCGCCGCTGGTGCCACAACCGCAGTACAGTCGCAACCCTCAATTGTGGTCTTGCCCGGTCCTCTGGCCCCATTGTCAGGACACTTTGGTGGCCGCTCGGCAGTTTGCGCTCCAAACTCGCGACACCTCTCCTCCCGGTACGCGGAGCCATGCTGATCTGCCCTGCGGCGCGGCGCCACATGCTTCTATTCATGGACTAAGCATCTCGCGATATCTTCAGCGGTCAGCCGCCTCTCATTGGCCAATCCGCCATTGTTAACGTCACCAACGTCCGCGCATAGCCCCAAGAGGCAAGACGTCAGTCAGCACTGCTCCTCTTCGCCGCCATATCATCTAGAGCGCCGCCCGCTACGTCCTTCTCCATGTTGTACAAACTCGACCTTGCTTGATTTCAGCGGCAGAGCCATGAGCGTTGCAAATTCGCCCGGCCATTTGGGCCCGAGTCACACGAGCCACATCCCATTGTCGGAATCACAATCACAATCACAACTTCAGGAAGAATTACAAGAGCAACCAGGTACCATATCAGACACACTCGACGACGATGAGGATTCCGCCTTTGAGGATCAGGACGGTGCTCAGGCAGCTCTCCAGCCCGCAATCAGCTCTGCCGCCAGTCACCTCACTTCGTGCCAAACGCCTGCGGTGGAAAAGGCTGCAGTACTAGAGGCAGCTCCTGGCGGCGGCCTCTTTGACAGTGCCATTGCGGAGGCCGAGGGCGAAGACGATGAGCAAGGCCCTCCGGAGCCTCTCCAACCCGTCGCGGTGCTCCCCGCAGCCCAAGCTGCTCCGTCGACAAGACCCAACCTCAATCTGGGTCGTCTCCCCAGCACCCAAGGCCATGGAGCGCACGCGCTTCCCTCGCCTTGGGTCTCAGGCCCAAAGGGCTTCATCGTCGACGACAAGGCCGGGCGTTCCAGCCAGACACGCGGTGTTCTCAGCTCTGCATTTGGTCCGACTCGCCAGCGTCGCTCCAGATCCGCGGGTCAGGAAGCTCTCAAAAGGCTGTCCAAGGCCTTTCCGTCAATTAATATGCCTACGCACCTTTTGCCATCGCTCCCCTCTTCCTTCTTTTCCAGCTTCACGGGCGATCACAAGCCTGGTCATGCCAGCATCTCTCGGTCTGCGACCACTCGTTCCCCGCCTTCTACGACGGCCTTGCACCAGTCGAAGCAACCGCAGGGCAACCGCATGAATTCCCAAATTGAACGCCCTATGTTGACCGGTACACAAACTCCTCCACCGGCACAGTCACGGCCACCCGTGCTCCGAAAGGTCACATCAGACGACAGTATTCTGTACCACAGCCTATCACGCGCTTCATCGCTAGGCGACGACGATCGTTTCCAGGATGTGCGTGAAATGGTTAACATTCGCTTCATGGCTATCAGAGACAGCCTGCCCGACGTGCCAAATTTCAGAATGCCCAGCTTGCCTAAGCTGAACGCAGGATCCCGCATGTCATCCATCTCGCTCAATGGATTCTTTGCCAGCTCGACTGACGACACATCTGGATCCCGCCAAGCTACCGTCGACCGAGCTGCAGCCGCCGGAAACATGCAGACCCCAGAAACCAAGGGCGTCCCATTGAATCCGTTAGACCGCGTGCTGAACGAGCTAGAGGGAGACATTGTCGTTCTCGGCGGGTATCGTGGCTCCGTCTTGCGATCCGCAGATCCACCCCATCAGCAGCTCTGGGCACCTGTCAAACTGGGCTTTAACCTGCGCAAGGCCAACCTCGAGGTCGGGCTTGAGGATGAGGACGAAGCGACCATGGAGGATCGCATCATTCCGTCCGGGATGCTCAAGCATATTGGCCCCGTCGACATATCTCGCAAACTCTTCAAGCGCTTGCGTTCCTGTGCCAATGCCCGCAACGGCAAGCTGCGAGTCTGGGACTACGGTTACGACTGGCGGCTCAGCCCAGCTTTGTCTGCGCACAAGTTGCGCAAGTTCCTTGCAGGGTTGCCCTCGAATCAGCCTGGAGTGGCCAGAGACTCACGCGGCGCCATTGTCATTGCGCACAGCCTGGGCGGTCTGATTACCAGGCACGTTGTGAATCAGCAGCCGGACCTGTTTGCCGGAGTCCTGTACGCCGGCGTGCCACAGCGATGCATAAACATCCTCGGACCTTTTCGAAATGGCGACGCGGTGTTATTCAACGAGAAGTTGTTGACGGCGCAGGTCAACTTCTCCATCCGCACATCTTTCGTATTGCTTCCCGATGACGGCTTCTGTTTCGTTGACAAGGAAACCGGAGAGGAGTACCCGGTTGACTTCTTCGATGCAGACGACTGGATAAAGTGGCGCTTGAGCCCCTGCGTGGCCACGGCCCTCCCAGCATATAATAGGGACAAGCAGCAGGCAGCCTCACCTCTTTCCTCGCTCTTCCCAAATTCATTGTTGAATAGCGGCCGGTTTGACAAGAAGCTCGATGGCGCGGAGACCGGCGATGTCAACGAGAAACGGCCAGGACAGGGGATCATGGATGTGGCTCTTGGAGGCAAGGATCGGGCCATTGCGCCCCAGCTCAACGCAGAGGCACCAGGAACTGGCTCCGCCGCACCGCTTCCGCCGTCTCCGCCGCCGTCTCCGCCGGCGCCGGAGCGCGAGCGCTACGTGTCCTACCTCCGCCGCACCCTCGCAGCCACTAAGAAGTTCCGCTCCGAGCTGGCACACACGTCGGCTTATGAATCTGCCAACGCATATCCGCCCCATGCGGTGCTCTACGGCAAGACCATCCCAACGGTGTACGCGGCACAGGTGAGCGGGCGGGCTGCCATTCCTTGCGCTGACGCCTACGATAACCTCTTGTTTCGTGCGGGTGATGGCGTTGTTCTCGCGCGCGAGGCAATGTTGCCGCAGGGGTACGCCCTCGTCCGCGGCGGTAGGGTGAGCACCGAGCGCGGCCATCTCACCATGCTCGGCGATCTGCCGGCCGTCGGGCGCGCGTTGGAGGCTCTGGTGAGGGGTAGGAGGAAAGGCATCGGGCTGGGGACAGGGGAGACGGACGACAGCACATAGGCCGGAGCGTAGAAACAGCACGTCAAGCACCATAGCACCGCGCGATGGCACTGTCCGGCCACACACGGCAAGGTCGTGTCACCGCAGAGCCAAAGAGCCCGCCTCTTTAGGGGACAAGACTACAAAACACGGCCAGATAAATGTGACAGGGCACATGCAAGGACGTCCGGGGGTGAGACATGACGATGTAGTCCCAGCCTTTTGGCATGACAGGTTGCGCACATGCGTGTCGCCAGAGACACGCGATGTCACCCATGCCAGCCGTCCCGAGCTGGCCGAACAATGCCATCCTGGCTACGAAAGTACGGGAGCAGTACATGGCACGCGGACTTGCTGGTATGCGGAACTCTGCACTTTTTTAAGGGCCCGACATCGTGAGCACGCGGAGCGTCGTGCGCGTGGTTTGCTGTCTGCTTTGACATACGGAGGACCCGTGATGGCGCCTCGCAAAGCAGGTTCGCGTGCTCCATGTGTTCCGGACAAAGAACGCCCCCAGGTGGCAGCCGCAGCCATGGCTTTCTGAGACACATTCCAGGTAAACAAGGAAAAATTTCCGCGTTTCAGGAGCGCTGTTCCGCACCTGTTCGCGTCCTCGTGCCTGGCCCGGCGTTTTCGTTAGTCTGCGACGTCTCTGCGACCCGCGTTCCCTCTGAGACCCGACGCCGACTCGTCGGTGAGATGCTCTCCACCCTTTCACTTCCAATTCAGCTGCGGCCGTCTGGCGGGCTCTCCTCTTGGCTCCACGAGTAGAGCGAGATTAGAAGATTTCTGAGTGCTTCTCTCTGTCCAATTTGCAGCCAGACTCGGCCAACCCCGTATCCGTCCGCCTCAATGGGACGTAATGTTCCGTGACGCGATTCCTTGTCGTGGGCGTGGCTCCCGTGCTTGCATCTTTGAGCGGCCGATGTCTGCCTCCTTGCAGATGAGCACATACACATCATTTTGCGGCGGCAAGGCGGGGCTCGCGGCAGCTGCATGCGCAAGAGATGTCTGATGCTTGTCTTGCAACTGCAGCGGGAGTGGTTGTCTCGATAGTTTGTCAACCAGCGTGGCGACTTCTTCGCCCTGTCTGGGACTTTGTGTGTCGTGTTCAATCGGATCGTGGCCGGAGGACAAAGCTGTCTAGCGGATTTCCGCTGAGGTGTCGCCTCGAATAAGTTGTTTCGCCGAACGGCGCGCTCAGCCGCCGATTCTTGAAAGCGTTCTTAGACAGATGATGTCGCATGGGGGCGGCCGCCAGCGTGGCAGCTGTTGACACACCGTAGCGACCGCCATTTGCACTTGACATGCCATGCGCTCTTCGACCATGGCAAGGTCGCTCCCCTCGTCCTCCTCGCGTGGCACAAAATATACCTGTTCCAGGTTGGGCATGCGAAGGGCCAGCTGCTTAATCACCTCGACCGTCAGGCTCGCGGCCGTCATCGATCTGTATGTCTCGTCGATCCAGAACAGGGCGTCGCTGATGGCGACTCGGCGAACGCAGGCCAGCTCGCCTTGGTCACACATGGACATGCAAGTGTGAAACTGGGAATCTGCCGCCATGTAGCCATCCCGAGGTCCAAAGAAGAGAATGTCTCTGTCGGGGTTGAAGATGACCTGCCCAGGGCCGCGCGCGAAGCCAAAGGCGCAGCTGTAGCTCTTGAATGCCTCGGCGCGGGATTCGGCACACACATGAAGATTGACCGGGATAGGCGCGCCTGACGTACAACCGGTCGTACAGCCAAGAGGGCGGGCCGGCGCCTCGCGCAATGACGGCGACCCGGAGCCGCAGCGTATAGGAACGAGGCGTGAGTTTGGCAAGTTGAAATTCCAGATTTTGAGGCGCAGCTCGGGTGGAAGTTGAGTAAAGAGATGCTACGCGTGTTAGAGAAGCTCCGCCAAACTCGGGGGTGGTCATGTGCACTCACAAACTCGTTTGGGTTGACAGTAGCAGGCGGGCTAGACGCACATGCGCGACGTATCCGGTCCATGTTCTTCGGCGCGGGATGCGAGTCGTGTAGTCGTGTAGCACTGAGGCGTGGTGAGCGCGAGAAGATGCCCATGGCCTGTCGACGGCGGCAATGGGGTCGACGAGTGCAGTATCGGGACGCGGACGTCTCGTCCGAGCGGTACAGACGCGAGTCGCCAGTCCCAAGGGGCTGGATGGCAACCGTGTCGGCGTGCGTCGTACACAAATGGGGGTCGGACGGCCTTGTATGCGCTCGCGGAGCTCTGCTGTGGAGGGGTAGTTGGTTGACCGGCGTGGGCGGCACGAGACTAGGCGGGTGGGGGAGAGCTGTTATGTATACTACTCCGTAGGCCGTACCGGGGTGGGAAGCGAAAGAGGAAGTGCTGGTAGACTTCGAGATTCGTATGCGGCTTGTCCCACCGCGGTGACGGAATTGCCCTCGCCGACGCTACGAGATGGATCCAGATACGATGGCGGAAACGGCGTCCCCGAGGCGAGTCCTTCTCCTCGATGGCGGGAGACTTGGTCCGCACTCGCAGGCACCGTCTCGCCGACAAGAAGTAAACACTCGTCTGGCTGTGCTGGCGCGTGTACTCGGTTGGGGCTCCGTAAGGACAGGCAGGTGTGCAAAACTGGTCGGTACAAAGTAACTTGCGTGGCAGCAGGTGTGACTGCTGCACATCCCGACGACCTGGGACGTGGGAGGGTTGGATGGGTCTCACGCTCGCAGCCGGGCAGGGGTAGGTCGGGACTCAGTTCATGCCCATCCCATCCACCGTCCGGCGTCCCCAGCCGGACGAGAGGGTGAGCGCAGGCAACAAACGCCGGCCTCTGCCCGGGGGCGAATCGGCCTCGTCGGCGTCGCGGGGCGTGGCGGCTAAGGAGCCCAGGGCCAACTACCGCCCGCCGTATGCCGTGCATTGGCCATCGGTGGCTTGACGTTTTGTGTCCTGTTCTCGTATTCGAGCCAATGGGAGCAGATGCCCACGTCCGCATAACCAGTCGGTCTGGGGGTGCTGGATGAGACACGATGGGGCGCCGGAGCATTGCAGCGCAGATGCAGCAGCATTTCGTCGTTCGACAGAGGGCAGGCCGCGCAAGGGTTCTGCAAGACACCTAGTCGCAGGTGGGCGGGATCGACTCCCTCCCCTGGCGGGAGCTGTGCGAGCGCTCGCACGAAGCATGCCGCTGACCAGATAGTCACCTCACTTCATGCTTCGCACAAGTAGGCGGCGGGCGGCGGACGGCTAGCCAAGGGGGACCCCCAGGTTCCTGGTTGATGATCCACGGCCGGCCGGCGCTGCGACGCCCCCAGTCCCTGGGTCCATGCTGGCGAAAATTGTCGGCGACATGCGCCTCTCCCCGCAGTGAAACATCCAGCTCGTCATCTGGCTCGCTCGGAAGTCTGCAGAACGTCCCGACTCTGTGGGGTTGCCGCAGCTAGGAACAGCGGCCAGCATTGCCGTGCAGCGAGTGGCTTCGGAAAGCTGCCGGGCCTTCGGCTGTCAGTATCCCCGAGCTTGCTGTACCACGGTCGGCGTTGCCCTCCTGCCTGCCTGCCTGCCTGCTTGCGAGCCGCAGACGCAGGAGCGTGCGCCTGTGCGAGCATACTAGGGAGTGTGCGACCCTAGCATCCCAGCCGATGCGGCAGACGCTACCCCAGGGTGTAGCGCTGCAGCGCCGTGTCTCGAACCCGAGCTGACAGCTCAAAAGGACGCCGTCCACCTGTCAAGGCCACACTATGCTCCAGCGGGCGCCGATCGGAACTTAACTCATGCAAGACGTCGATGCCCGACTGTGTCGGAAAGAGAACGCCGGGCGCCGGTCAGGTCGCCGTCGTCGTCGTCGCTGTCCACGTCCCGTTCTTCCGCCTCAAGAGTCAAGCCCATCATGCCAACCCGGACCGACCCAGAGAACACCAGAGATCGATAGCACCCGGCCCTCCTCCAGGTATTTGAAATATGCCCACTCCGCCGGATCCCCGCGTTCATCGTGCGTACTTTGTACGTATTGGCAATTGCCGGCCTCCGTTGAGGCTTGACGTGAGCCCCTGGGCGGTGGGCCGTCCGGTCGACAGCCGTCTGCAGGTGGTCACACATACGCAGTGTCGCCATAGCTCCCGCTGTCAATGACGACTGTGGCCGCGCGCGGGGGGCATGGTGGTTACGGGGACCCAGGCAGCTGGGATTACTGATCTCCGAGACTCTGGGGCACATGTTGGGCATGGCGGTGTTGTAGACGTAAACCTACATAGGTGCGGAGTGCGAGCTCCGCCGTGCGGCGCTTCTGAGCAGAAGCAATCAACATGCCGGTGATGTCCTGGCTCTTTTGACCAAGACACCACGTGGTTCGGGGCTGCGTGTGGTGCCGCCCGCGCGAGATCGCCGCGTCGTTCGTGTCATGCTCCCTTCGAGACGAGACGATGCGTGACACGCTGCGCCCTGGGTCGTTATCGAGCCGGCGGTTTGAGCATCTCCGGTCGCCGGTCAAGGAAAACCAACAAGGTGACACGGCAAGCCAGGGTCCAGGGCCTATTCGTCGAAACCTCGCAATTCGCGCAGCGATAAAAAGAGAATAATGAGCAAACAGACATGTAAGTCGTCGGCGACGGGCTTGGCCCGAAGATTGTCGGCGTTGCACGGGCCAGGCTGGCGGGGGCTGGTGCGCTCGGGGTTCAACGGCCAGCCAACGTGATCGGGCAGCTCGCGAGGACGGAGGGCCTGACTGTGTCTGTGGAGGGAGAAGAGAAGTGTCCCTGTCAGCCGCCATGTGATCCGTCACGTGGGACGGTGCTTGCTGAGCGCCGACTGGAAGCACGACATTGCAATGTGCACGATAACACTTGGGACAGTAGGTACGTATGTACATCAGGGACTACCCTGGAAGGTTGCCTCGTCTGGGTACCTCGCCTCGTCTACGAGCGTGGAGCGCGACGTAAAGAAGGAACTTGCATGGTACTCTGCACATTTCAACGTTGCGACGTGCTACTTCTCTTTCCTACAGTGGGAGGTGCCGGTCTTGCTATCGTAGGTAAAACCCTCAGGAAGGTACGAGGTACAGAGTGCTCCGTGCGGATAGCCGAGAAACCCACCGCACGAAATAGAGAAGGAGCGCCTGGAGTCTGGACGAGAGGAGCAGGCCCGGCAGGAGCGAGCGATATTAAGTGTGCGCTAAATGCTGCCCTGGGATGACCAGAGACAGAATCTGGAGACAGAGACCATCACCGCAAAACAGCACCGGCCACCCACAGTCCCACACGGGCACCCCTACCATATCCTGTTCGTTCACAGGCGAACAAGCAAGCCTTCGGCGCTTCGCCTGGCCTCGAAACTCAATGCCGGGGGGTTGATGCTATTTGTGGCCGGCCCCGTCAGCCTGATTGGCCGCAGCTGCCCGGCACAAGCGCCATGGCACACCCCCGACACCACGCACGGCTGCCCTGCCTGCAGGCCGCCAGCCAATCCGGGAACTGCCCAACGTCAAGTCCGCGAGAGCCTCACTGCGCCGTCGCTGCAGCCATCTGCGCCGTCTGCCAACTCCCAGACCCAGCGCGCCTATCGTGCATGGGCGCCTCGACGCTCCCTTTTCCATTGGCTCATTGGAAGTGACGAACTTGGCCTCGCGGGCTGCAATCAGCTTCACAGATGAGTGTCATGGACGGCCTTGAGCCTATAATTCCGCTTCCTCCCCTCGAACAGACCAGAGTTCCAACGCATTGATTGACTTGCTTCATTTTCTTAGTTCTTTTCCTTCTTCTCAAGTGCTCTCGTTTTTGCAACCTGGGTCCTGTGGACTCGGTTCAATATTTCTTGTCGTTGCCTGCTATTTCTGTACATTTGCCAACTATACACACTGCACACCAGGACCAAGCATGTCTTCCAGCTTGAAGAACGAGGTCACCGTCTCCGATTTTGAGGGCGATGGCCGGGACCTCCGCACTCGGGTCAAGGCCCGTATCGTCGGCGTCATACACGCTTTGCGGGTTGCCATGACGTTGCTTGCCCTGCTTTCAGGCATCACCATCCTCGGTCTCTCCGCCAACTCGCTAGCCGTATACAAGAACACGCACGTACCAGACGACTATTTGCTCGCACTCTGGCCGCATCAATTTGACTTGCGGCCAACCACGGCACTAATTGCGGGCAGTGCTATTGTCGTTGTTGCAAACGCCGTGTCTCTGCTTGCCAGCAAGACCACATCTGTAAGAACATCGTCAAGATCTGTCGCCACATTTCGAGACTGACCGGTGACCCCATAGGTGCGAAACCGCGTTGGCGCTCACTCGTCTGTCAGCCTTGCAGCTCCCGTCATCGGTTTCATCGCAGCGCTGGTCGCAATGTCCCTCTTCTACGCCGTCAACGCCTCAACCACGGTCGACACAGTCCAGAGCTGGACATGCCGGTGGAAGCAGGTCGGCATGTCGATGCAACCTCATTTCGGATCGCTGTGCAGGCAGAGCGAGGCAGCCTTGGTCCTGGCCATCCTGCTGGTCCCGCTGGAGCTGTGCGTGCTGGTGACTGCGTGCTTCCAAATGCTTCTAGAGCGCAAGTTCAGTGCGGCGCTGCGTGGTGGCAGCAGCCCGGCGATGTCCTGAGGTTGTGCCGTACCTCACTAACGGTCGACGGACCAGGCCTGGATGGCTACCATTTGTCTGCCATACTTGGGGCAGCGAGAGTCGAGGCGACGACTTGTACATGTCCAAGTGTCCGAGTCCTGTTACGTTGTACAGTAATTGCGAGAAGTAGCAGGTATTCGAGTTTAAGAGCAAGGGCCAGCCTTTTGCGGCCAGTACCAGCTGTAGCCACCAAGACACAGCAGTTGCAGCAACGCCCACGTTTTCGGTGTCGTGCTGCCTCATCCTCTAACTGGAGACTTGTAAGCGCGGGGCTGAAAATGGCCTGCCTGTCACTTCGTATAGCTGCGTTAGCCAGCTTGTTTCATGCTGTGCGATGGTGACGCAGTGCGGCGCCAACAGGACCAGTTCGTGTCGCCGCCGATGGAGCGTGCACCCCTACTTCACACTCAGCAAGGAAGAGGAAGGGCCAAGAACGAAATCCTGTTTCGGGCTGAATTGCCCCGAGCTTTCTGTGCAGGCCATCAAGAGACGCGGGAGCACGGCATCATACGAAGGCGGGCGTCGGGCGCCCCTGGCGAAGCCTCGGGCACGGATCACCCTGAGATATAATGTATGAGGCGCAGTCGTCGGCGCTCCCTTTGTGTTACAGAGACGGTGACATTTCTCTCACCTAGCAACAGGCATGATTAATACGGCACCCGGCTTTCGAGCCCTGGTGCCCCTTGTCGAGGGACGGCATGCCGTTGGCGGGCCCTCTGTTTGGCAACCCGGGGAGTGGCTCACTCAGAGACTGTCGACGGAAACGGTCTTCGACCGAGTCGCATGTCACACCTTTAGTGCATCCCTTTGGCTAATCCAACGAACATTCTGTCTTGTTTCGAAAAGGCTCCTTCTTGGATGTAGGGCATACGCGTACCGTCGCCCGCGCGTGGTCGTGGCCCGTTCCTGACAGGTTTTTATTAGATCACTGACGTGTGAAAGGCACGCTTGGGCTTGGCCTCAAGTATCACTCGACAGGATCAGAGCAAGGAGTATCTGGCATCATTCGCATCAGCGCAGCGGGCTCAACCATGATCCGGACTGGCACGCCAGTCCACAGCCGGTCGGCGTCGCCAGCCGTTATGGGTGTACCGCTGTCGCGCAAGCCTTTGCCGCGCAAGCCTCCGGCGAGGCCGCCGCCGCCGCCGAGTATCTCGCTCATGGAGCGGCGTATCGGCACCGATTTGAGTAGGCCGAGTCTCGAGCCGCTGGTGGAGAGGGAGGCGAACAGGTTCATCACAGAGCCTCGCATTCCCCAGATAGGAGATGCGACGGGACCGAGCAGGCAGGCTTCGCCTCTGGCACACAAAGCTTCAGGATCGCCGAAAGACCAAATACGCGCGCAAGCCATAGTTCTGGCCGAGGTCAGGACCAACGTCATGGTATGTTGTTGAATCGCGCCCGCGAAAAACTTCGAGGCGACTAAGAAGGCGTCTAGGTCACCAACGAGTACACATTCATCACAGAGCTCTCGACGCACTTGTCAATACGGTACGGTCGACCGGTCACCTCCATAGTCGTGACGCTGCAACATAGCATCTGCATGCTATTCGGGGGCTCGTTCGAACCAGCGTACACGATAACCGTGAGTGCGCTGCCGGGCCAGATGCAGATGACGTCGAACAAGCGCAACGTCGCGCTCCTTCAAGCACACCTGTTTCAGGCGCTACGCGTGCCTCCCAAGCGCGGATTCGTGCGCTTCGCTCCGGTGACAGACGACTGCTCTGGCTGGGGCGGCAAGACGGTGGCAGGGCAGATCGCCGAGGCAATGGGCACGGCAGTCAAGGGTCCAGGGAGGGAGCAAGGAAACGAAGCGGGGAGAGGTGGCTTCAAGGTACAGTGCTCACCCACACCCGCTGGATGAGAAACTCACCTGCTCAACGTCGATACCTTAGTTGCGCGCAAAGACTTTGCGGCCCGCTGAACCGGAAGCCGCGACGAGATCGGGGACACTGACACCCATCCCGCCAGCGAGTCGGCAGGGTGTCTCGACGAAGGAGTCATCCAGTGCGATCCCAACAAGCAGGCCCACGGAGCCTGCAGAAGCGGCAGCGGCCCAAGAGAAGGCGGAGAAGAGAACGCTGGTCGATAAGTTGTTCCGTCGAAACCGCAAGTGATGAGCTTCTCAAGGCGTATATATAGAGTTGGCCGGGGGTGGCAATGGGGAGATCATAGATGTTTAATGTATGAGCGGAGCTGTTCGGAAAGCGCGCGTTTGGTAGACAGGTCGCAATCTGTAATACTCGGTTCTCATCGGTACGGTATTCAAGCGTAGTAAAAGGAGGCGGGCGAGATAAAAGGCATGGCAGAGGACTGTGATTCAATAGCACTGAGCGATGTGATGGTGGCCAGAGCATGCTCGGGGGTCTGCCAGGTGGTGTGCAGGAGAGAATGTCTGCTGGTGTATTGGATCGATTTGATGGACCCGACGGCCCAGGGAACGGTGGGTGATTCGGGCAACCTGGGTCGGTCTGCCATCTGAAGCTTCCAATCCAATTTAACTCTGAGGTGGCGGGGCGCGGGGCCAGGCTCCTCCCCAGGACGGCTCCTGTAAGGTACCGGTCGCATCCCTGCTTGGCGATGTGCCAGCAGTCAAGGTACCTAGGTACAGCGCCTTACCTAGTACCTATCAGCCCAGGCAGGCTGGTGCCGTTGCGCCGCGAGCTTACCTGAGGTTCAGGTTCCATCCCCGGTTCCAAGGCACCAGCACCACAGAGAGCACCTCAGACACCAGTGACCAGTGACCACCACCCGACCTCACCTCATTGCATCAGCCTCGTCCACCCGACCTCACCTCGCCTCACCTCACCAGCGTCCCGCACATGCGCAATCGCCACAACCAACCCGCCCCGAGCCTGGCCGACCTCCATCGCTAGACACCGCCGCTGCCATCTCGCTTTACAGCCCAGCTACTGGGCCGAGCACCTTGAAGCCGCCCTCCGGCCAAGGCCGACGAATTGAGCCTCGCCCTCCCGACTCCCTCCCTGCTCGACGTCCCCGTTCTCGCCCGCCGCCGCGACCCCCGTGACTCTCGCACCGTCGCCAACCGGCCCTTGCAGTCAGGGCAGCGACGCAATTGCCGACCTGCCGACGCCCGCCTCCCACGCAAAGGGACGAGCTTGGGCCCCGGTCTGCCCGATCCCGACTCGCATCGCCCGTGCCGCCAGCCCAGCCTTGCCCTCTCTCACTCTCACCCGGACCAGGGACGACGTCGAGCAACTTGGATGCTGAGGCGCGCCTCCCAAGGGGCCTCGCAACCAGACCATGGAGGTGAGTGGCGTCATTTGCCTCGTTTTGTTGCGTCTTCACGTTTTCGTTTTGGCCTCACCCCTCTCGCGCCCGCCTTCGTCGTCCTCGCCTTGCGTATCGTTGCGCTGCTTCTGCTGGTGGTGGTGGTGGTGGTGGTGGTGGTGTTGTTGTTGGTCCCGTCACGCCATGGAATTTCTCTCCCTCCCCTTCTCGTCTTGGGTGGGTGGTTGGACGTTGCACGGCATCCCCGACCAACCGACGCTTCTGTCACCAGGCCTCTTTATCCACGCCTGGAGGTCTTGCCCTTGCTCGCTCCCTTGCGCCCCGGATCAAAGGAGGCGCGCGAGGCTCTTGCCGTTGCTTTCACATGCGTCATCCCGGAGTAGACGAATGGCCAGGTCCGGCTCGTCACAGTCAGTCACTACACACAGCCAGAGCGTCTCCGTCAGTACGGGCCAGCGACTTACCTGCTCCCTGTGTCACCTACAGCACGGTCTACCCTCGGTGCCAGCGTCGAGCTCGCTCTGCATGAGCCAAGGCTCCAGCTCTCGCTCCCGAGATATTACTCGCCAATTGCCAGGCACGTATCCGCCGTCTGCCACTGGCCCATGGCATTGTGCTCGGGCCCAGCTGGGGGTTAGAGAGGCAGCACAAACATAAGAGCGCCTGGAAATGCCGCTCGCGAGCCCACGCTGCTGCCATGGCAATCTTCGTGAGACTGTGGCGGCATCGACGATGGCTGCGGCGGCCGTGATTGACTGGCGACGCCCAGTTCCCAGCCCCATGCTGAGGTGAACTGGACATACGGCACGCGACGAGGCCCTCAGGCCTCCACGTGGCATGGCACAGCATCGCGTGGCGACGGACTGAACACGGCGCCTCTCTGCAACGTCCTGCGTTGTGCCCCAAACGCCTCGCCGTCGGTGGTCTCATCTGCGTCTTCACTGCTTTTCCTTCCAGTTGCCACTGCCCGTCCTTTTTGCACCTGTCGAGGAGCCGTTGTGGTCGTCTCCTGTGGAGCTCTTCTCTCTCATGACTCTCAACCCTCCGATCCGCAGCGAGTTGCTGGCGGAGTTGGGCAATGATCCCAACTTGATTCCCCATTCTCGAATTGGCACAATGAGCCCAGCCGCGCTAAATCTCCGACGTATTCAGCAGCAGACCGGAACGAGGGCCTCGGCCAAAGATGCCGGCAAACCCGCTGACCCTTCAGCGACCCAGCCTGCTAAGGGCAAACCGCGGTTGCTGCTCATGGGCCAAAGAAGGTGAGTTAGTCCAGCTCTGGGCTGTCACTCATGGCTCATATCTTACTCACAACGCGACAGGAGCGGCAAATCGTCCATCTCAAGTGTGGTATTCCACAAACTTCCTCCCAATGAAACGCTGTTTCTTGAGTCGACGGCTCGTATACAAAAGGATTCCATGGCGTGAGTTTCCCTCTGTTGCTCCTTTCAGGTGCACCGAAATGCCCCGAATTCTTGATGTTAACATGGCTCAGGTCTTTCATGGATTTCCAAGTATGGGACTTTCCCGGCCAAATCGACGTTTTCGAAAACTCAGACTTTGACATGGATGCAATCTTCGGGGAGATTGGCGCCCTTATTTGGGTGATTGACGCCCAAGACGACTACCTAGAGGCTGTCGCCCGCCTCAACTCCACCATTCTTGCACTGCAAGGACACTACCCCAACATAAACATCGAGGTGTTCATCCACAAGGTGGACGGCCTCTCTGACGACTACAAGCTCGATATCCAACGTGACATCACTATTCGCATTCAAGACGAGCTTTCAGACAACGGGTTCGAAAATGCGCCCGTCACCTTTCACCTCACCTCCATCTACAACCACTCCATCTTTGAGGCCTTTAGCCGCGTCATCCAGAAACTCATCCCGCGTCTCGGCACACTTGAGTCCATGCTCACTAACCTCTGCCGCACGTGCCGGTTCGAGAAGGCCTACCTGTTTGACGTCCTGTCCAAGATCTACATCGCGACCGACAGTGCCACTGCGGACATGGCCAGCTACGAAATTTGCAGCGACTACATCGACGTCATCATCGATATCACCGAGGTGTACGGGACGTGGCAGCGCAGCGACGAGAGCCGCAAGAAGCTCGAGGCTGAGCCGTGGAACTCAAAGCTCGACGACCAGATCGGCTGCTCCACGGCCGAGAGCTGTCTCGTCTTGCATGACAGCAACAAGCCCATCATGCTTCGTGAGGTAGACCGCTATCTCGCCCTCGTGGCAATCATGAAGGACGACTCGTATGACCGGATGCCGTTGGTCAATATGAATGTCGAGGCCGTGGTGGAAGGCCTAACGGAGTTCTTTGACATCACGAAACCGAGGAAGTGAGCCACAATTTTTCACGCCATTTGGCTGGACTACACGCGCAAAGCAAGGCGCAAGGCCATGTAAATTACTTTCGAAGCGTTATATTGAATGATACGAGGATCACGAGTTCCGTTCCGCTATGTCGGCGACATTGAAAAGGTGCGCCATGTCGTGCGGTTGCTTCCCAAGAAACATATCCTCGCGGGAACCTCGCCTCTCAGGTCGCTCTTGTCGTGCACTTCCATTCGTACCGGCTTCATGTGATGCTCCTCCGGCAAGCGGTATAGCTGGAAGTCTGCCCACGGGACAGCGGGTATGTCAGCCGTGCCGCCAGCGCCGAAGTCACTGTAAGGCAGCGAGCCCGACTGAATGGGCACAGAAGCGACGATTGGGGTGTTGTTGTCTACATCGCAAACAAGATTGAGCAGAGCGTACGGTCAGTTAGGGGCAAAGAGGGATGAGAGGTGTTGCGATTTTGTGGCTGCAGACGCACCTGGTTCGCTACACGCGATTATGAGGGTCTCGTCGTTGAGGAATTTCAGATCAATGAGTTTTCGGTCCGCCAGGTCGATGGCGCAAGCCGTGGTTGGGCCATTGGTGCTGATGCCGTTGATGATCTCCAACTCGACACGGAAGACGTAGACTGGCGTGGCGGCGTGTAAGTCAGTGGTTTCACCAAATATAGGGCGTGTGCTCTGAACATATTGCACGTACCTTTTCCATTTGGTTCCTTGGTCGCCAGGGCCGCATAGGTCACTCCCCCCTGAGTATTGTTAGCCACATCGTCGTAAGCCCCAGGCGAGGATCTCCCAACGCACCTCGCCCGTACGACGCATTCGAAAGTCCATCTTGCCCACGGGCCGTCCGAGGGAGAGGGGAACGGGCTTCCCAAAGTGCACGCTGCGCTTTCCGGCTTCTGCGACGTCTCCGAATATCCGGTTTGACCAGTTTGTCATGTAGTTGACCAGGAAACTCACGTGCGGGAGTGCGCGCATGCTCGGCAGGCCGTCCTCGTGCTTAGTGAGCTGCTTGTCGAGCATGTCTAGGAGGCTAAGTCCGTCCTCGCAATGTTCCCAGTCGGCGGCGTAGTCCTCCCTGGTGATGTCGTCGAAGAAGATGTCAAGTGGGCTACCAGTGAGGTATGTCTCGATGTATGTGAGCACTTTGCATGTGTCCATGGTGGCTTCCTTCTCGGTAAGTTCATCGCTGCTTGAGCTGGCCAGGCGGTCGATCTGGAAGCGAAGCCAGGTGGAAAACGCAGTAAAGTGCTCGAGCTCATCCATGACGTGGTTCAGGATTTTGTGGCCCACGAGTGTCAGGCAGCCGACGATATCGAGAATTCTGCTAATCTGAGTGGCAGAAAACCCAATATCGTCGCGATTCTTGTGAAAGAGGGCGAGACCGCGCAATCTGCTGAGTATGATGGCACAGCGCTCCAAGGCTGGAATAAGATTTTCGTGGACCAGGCCGCGAAGGTTCTCGAGCCCGGACACGACAGCTTTGTCCCAGCGCTTGTGCCCCTGTCATGAGAGAGTCAGTCGCTAGCTAGAGAGGCGGTGCAGGGCAGCAGCCAGACTCACACGTTCCGCGAGGCTGTCCACCAACCACTCTCGGACAGGCTTGTAGACATGGCCAGTCACCACTGTGTGATATAGTGCCGGAACAATGTTCTTGGGGCCGGCTTGCATCTCCTCCAAGTCGCCCTGTACACTTCGCAGAAAACGGCTTGGCAATTCTTTGGCATTTTTCCATTCAACCAACATGTGCAGCTGCGTCTGTTTGAGATACCTCAGAAGAGTCTGCAGCATGGTCAACTTTGACGTCAACAGGTATAAGTTGATGGGAGACGAGGATATGAATGGTAGGTCCATGGGCACGAGATGCAGCTCGTCAGGGTCAGAAGCTGCCGGGGCGAGGATAAGAGCCTGAGTTGATACTTCGGGATGCGACGCATGATCAATCATGATGCTCGTGTAGGACGGGTTCGGCGATGGACATTGGAAGCCTCCAATGCAGAAGGAGTCATGTATGCTCAGCTGGAGTTTGCCCTCGCTGGTGCCGACAACCAAGACGTTGACCCGGTCATATTCCTCCTTTTTGGGCGCTTGAAACAAGAACTCGATGCCCGTTCGCAAGGTGAACACCGTAGCGTCGTCGCTGTAAGGACTGTCAGTAGGTCTTAACCATCGCGGCCTTACTGGCTTCGAGGGGAGGCCCTACTCTGCACCTGCGCTGCCAGAGGGCAAAGGGCTGATTTTGGGCAGCGCCGTCTCGACCTCTAAGAATGTGAGCTCTTTAGGCAGGTCGACAGGGAGGTCAGGCCCGTTTTCGCTCCAGTCCTTGCCGAGCTCATCCGTGAGTCGGCTGGAAGCCAATTTCGAGGCATCACTGTTGGAGCTGACACTATTCGTCCAACCGATATGGGTGATGGTCGGACCAGCCTCGGCGCAGACGGGGATGTGATGGGCGACCTTGTTGTTCTCCAGTCCCATCAACCGCACGACGCCATCCGTCCAGCCCACAGCCAGAAATTGCCCTGGAATGGGTTGTCGTCAGCTGCCGAAAGCATACGGGAGGAAAAGAAAGGAATTGCTGCCGGAAAGGGCCACCTGATTCCAAGGAGAGGGGCTGACGAACCATCTGGTTTCCATGTCACCGCCACGGCTTCAGGGACCTTCTTGCCGGGCAGTCCGACCTGATGAATCCTGGATACGACCTGACCAGGCGGCCTGTAAATGAGCAGATTCCTCCCACTGCTGTCCCACGTCGCGGCGAGGTCGAGCGTGGGGCAGCCCGCTGGGAGACCGCTCGGCGCCCTGGACTCGAACTCGGTCTCACTGATGAGCGAGAGCTCCAGTGGCTGGGCCATATCGATGGCCAACACTTGGTGCCGTGAGGCTCGGAGGCGTGACCATAACACCGAATGTGTTTGGTAGTACAATTCAAGGGCAATAAGTTTCACTTGCTAACGTGGTCACCCACAGTGGCGCGTAGAAGGGAAAGCGTGTCGGTTCAAGGCGGGCGTCCACCAAAATGCAATGGGCCGCAACGTGCCAGAATTCACTGTTCGCACGGTACGCGATCTGGTTCGTCAACGGGACACTGACACAACGCAGCTACATGACTGCACTTCTATTTAAGCTCCCAGGCATAAAATCGGCCTCCGGCCTCAGCAGCGATGTAGCTTGCTTTGGGTTGGGTTGCTCGACTCGTCACTTCGTGCCACATGTCATTGCACAGCCGTCCCGGCTGCCAGGACGTCTCCCTTGCTAAACCACATTTTGAATGCCTACTCCGCAAGTCGCTCCCAGTCCGTCTATCTGATCCTACTCAATGGAAAAGTTGTCGGCGGCCGACTTGATCTCCTTGGAAAAGGTCACCTCCTCGTTCTCCTCCAACAACGACACCGTGGTAACCTAAGGATGTCAGAGTTAGCTCAAGAGCTGTGCGACAGCTGTCCGGGGGTATGCTCACATCAACGTCGACGTACGGCGTCGTCTTGTTGAATCGGACAGTCATGGGGAAGAAGTCGTTCTCGTCACCACTCTCCGCCTCAAATTCGAAGGATCCGTTGGGGTTCTCGTCGTCCACGGCGCCAACGTTCCACTCCAACATGTCTCCGGAGACTTCATACGCGGCGTCGAAGCTGGATACCACCGGCTCGCTGCCTGCGTACGGGATAACGACGCTCACATCCCTCAATGCATCCCCACCAGTCAGCTCGTACTCGACTGTGATGTTGTACTTGTCCGAGTCCTTGTTGATCCACACAGTGAACGTGATCGGGCACGCGCTCGTGTCGTCAGTCTTGGGCGTTGCCCTCCAGCGGAGGACGCCGACAGCGTTGTTCACAGGGAATCCCCGCGCGGTGTTGCTCATCTGGATGACCTTCGAGCCGTTGAAAAGGTTGCGGTCCACGTTTGGGTGGGTGCGGAATTGAGCTCCGTGCGAAGCGACCGCCCGAAGACCGAGCTTGATCTTGGTCAGGCTCGGATCAGACACGCGGAGAGTGAGATCTCCGCTGATGGCAAGCGAGTTGACGGCGCCCTCTCTCGAGAGCTTGGCGCTGATAGATTCGGAAACCGTGACGTGAATCGCATCCCGGTCGAGAGTCGACGACATGCGAGGCTCAATAGGCTCAGCCGCTGCCGGTGACGGGGTCACCAGAGGCGTGTCGTCCACCTCGCCGCCCATGTCGCCACGAACACGCTCGAACATGTCGCTGGTCTTGGACTTCTTGCCGAGCTGCATGCCTTTCGCCTTGGGCGCTGATGGCCTGTGCAATGAGATTAGCAGCTGTACCTGCGAGTTGGGATGACCACAAGGACGTACTTGTTGTATGTCTTATTCTTCTCGGCCTCGTAGGAGTCGTAGGAATCGGCAGCGCTCGGCCGCGACGGTGGTTGATATGTAGGGTATACAGGAGTCCTCGGCATGCCGCCACGACCACTCCGCGCGGACTCCTTGCGCTGCATCTCCAGTTGCTTGGCCTTGCGTTTCCGCTCTTCGGTAGCTTCAAGCTCCTTGTTCTGTGGGAATTTGTGAGTGAACAGGCTTCACTCGTTTTCCATTGAATAAACTTACTCTGGCGATGATTTCTTGGATGCGCTCCTCGTGGCTCTCCATATCGAGAAACGTCTTGATCTGGCTCATCGTCAGGTTCTCGCGGTATCCGAGCGTCACCAGCTCGTCGAATGCGCTGAGAAGCTCGTAGGCGTTTCGTAGAATCTCCCTCTCGTCGAGAGTCTTGCAGGCGCTGGTGACCACCTGCGCAAACAGGTGCAGCGAGTCGATGTCCTGCAAGATGTTGGACTGGCGGTTGGTGATAAGAACCATGTAAAGCTCGTCAAGGGGTTGGTAAACGAAGCGGACATTGTCCTGCTCGACGGTCGTGTGCTGGGTGCCGCTGTCGGCCAGTTTCGGGAACGAGGCCAGCAGCGCCTCTATCCGCGATCGTGGCATCTCGCGGAACTGTCTCGAGAGGACAGCTTTCCCGCCGCGAGTGCAGATTGAAGCCGCGAGGACGACCTAGCTCGAGAGTTAGCTGCGCTGGCAGAGCAATTTATGGAGCGCCACGGCAGCGCTACGTACCATCTTGACCGGATTTGCCTGGCAATCGAGTAGTTGCGGTTTGTTGTCGTGCGCAACCCTTCAGGAGGTTTCGAGGGCAAGGTGTCCATCAATTGACGCCACGTCCCAGCCCACTTCAGGAGCTGGCTCGCGGCCCTAAGCGGATCAGTCAGCATGGAGTGCTGTGGCGGGACACGCATCGGGTCAACTGCGGCTGGATGTGCCCAGGCGCGCCAGGGGAGCCTGACCTGGTGAGCCTGAGGTACGTGCCCCGCCCCCATGGCCTTTGGCTCCGTGACTTCGCCCCCGGGCGCGTGCTAGACCTGTTTCGGCAAGGCGCGGGTCCGCGTCCAGCTTCATCATTTCGAGCAACGAAGGCTGGGCAGCGGTTCCGTTGAAGCTTTCATCACCATCCGAACAACAAAGCTTCCCAGAGCTCGTTGTGTCGCCAGCGAACTACCTCACACACCACCCCACGCCTCACTTTACTTTCCAGAGGCGTCTGTGACTGGAAAGTTATCAATACGAAAACTTCTGTTTGCGGAAGCTGTCGCGAAAACCGAGCCCAATGTCCCACATCACACGCCTCCGAACCTCCTTTCAAGAGTCGCCACACGCAGCGTAACGCCAAAGACGTTGCACCGGTCTCGCGCGCGGCTGAGTAGTCTCAACTCCCGTTAACGAGGCCCCAGCACACCAAGTTTTCCTGCAATCCTCAGCGGCATATACCTACCTTACGTGGCTGGCTCAAACACCTTAACCCACCAACGCGTCGTGGTCCCAACGACACATCGTCATATTTCGGCGCGCGTTCCCTCTACCAGACATCACACAGCTTACGGGCTAGCACTACCCACATCAGAACCGATCTCAGGTAGAAGAATGGCCGATATTCAGCTTGGTGAAGCGGAGCCAATACCGCAAGGCTGGTCGGACGCGGCTATCGTTTCCCTCCCTGACGAGGATCTGATCGATTACGACAGCGACGATGCTTCCCCAACTGTCGCCGAGGCCAAAAAGTCGTCGAATGAAGATACTCTGGCAGTCAACGCCCCGCACGAGGTTGTCGGACACTCGAACTCGCCCGTTGCAAGTGGAATAGGCACAGAGCCTGCGCTTGCCGCCAACGGAACTCACATATCGCGCGATAATGAGGACGACGCAATGATGGACCAGGCGGCCATAGGCGAAGAAGACAGCCACGGCGAGAGCGATTCTGTTGCAGTTCGTGACGCCAAAGGTGGTGAAGAGGAGCAAGCAGATGTTCACGAGATCGACTACGACCATGATGACGTCGATTATCAGGCTTCCGACCACGACAGCGATCACAGTGCATCGGCCGCAACGGCGCCCCAGCCCCCCTCTCGTGCCGAGGGTATCCAAGACACGAGTGCACTTGGCATGCCTGAGCCCGAGGACCAGGCGGAACATTTCGAGATCGACTGGGAAGAGCCAGATGCAGATGGTGACGAAGAGGCCAGTGATGGCGCCGTGACACACTCTACGAGCGAGCAGCAAGCGACCGAACCTGCCGAGCCCGCCGATGCCGTGGAGAACGGTCCCTCAAGTGCTGCCGAAGGAAGCGTCGATGGCCACGACTATAACGAAACAAGTTCACACGAGCTGCTGGGCCAGGGGGCGCCTAAATCCGGGGAATTCCCTGAGATTCATGTTTGGTACAGGGGAGAGGAGTACCCTTTCTTTTCGCAGTCATCGGATGGCTTTTTTGGGCATGTTTCCATCCTTGACGAATCTATGGCCACCATTCTCAGCGAACTGCGCTCAATGCTGGACGATGAGATTGGCGAACAGGACGAGCTCGTTCTACAAGTCGATAAGCTTGGCCTTGAATTTGCCGAGGTATGTGCCATCCCTTAACTCTGCTATCAACATCTAACCTTTGTAATATAGTCATCGCCCAGTGCAGTCTTGTCTACCGTGACCTTACACAAGGTCCTAGATCTCATGGATTCGCTTGTCAAGAATGAAGATCCCGAGAGCTACACTCAGCTGTACACGTACCTCTTCACGAGACCTGACACCTTGAAGCGTTTCAAGTTCCTTCAAGACAGTGCCACTGTCGACAAGAAGGGGCTCGGAGATGTCCTTTACATCTTTCGTGCCCCTGCTGATGGAAGTCTTCCAGGTGTCGATGATGCAGAGGAGCTAGATAAGCAGGAAAGTTTGACTCAGGAGGGACTCGCTGGTAATGACGCCTTCGTGGGGGGAGTTGGAGAATTTGGCGAAGACTTTTTCGGTGCGGATGAAGTCACCAATCCGCAGGAGTTCGCTCCAGCAGCCGCCATGGGACATGGCACTGAAAAAGATATCGAGGCTGAAGAAGCCACCGGTGATCTGGCAACAACAGATATGATGGACGCTCCTCTGCCTGGTCACAATACCACCATCGATCTCGAAAGGGACCAGGGTCCCTTGACAGGTGTTTCTGGTGCCCACGCCACTGAATCCAAGGTCGAGGACCTCTTCGAAGCGCCGGAACTCGAAACGAGGGAAGCAAACGCCGTTGGCGCCCAGGCTCCGCATGTGGACGAGGACCTCATTGAATACACGGACGATAAGATTGAAACCGCAGGAGAGGACTCAATCACCGGCGACAGGGTCCTGCCGAATTGGCCCGAGGATTTCTCGACTACAAAGAGCGCAGGCTTGCAACAGGTCGGGTCGGCCGCCGTTGGTGGTGGCTTGGTCGATGACAATGCCGGAAACGACGACGCTATCATCCAAGTGAATGCGTTGCGTTCTGATGATGATCTCGGCGATTACAACGACCAGAATCCTAGCGAGAACAGCATCACAGGCATGAAGCCAGGCACTGCACAGGTCGCCGCTAACACGTTGGCTGCGCCCGGTAGTCGTGACACGACCGACGATGTGCACGCTGAACAAGTACCCAACGCTAGCGGCCTCAAAACCGCAGCTCGCCACATCCGCAGCACATCCGATATTAGCATCTCCTTTTCTGAGGCGGGTCCTGACCAAGTGCCTCCGGCACTTACGGAAGGTGCAAGCCCTTCCTTGCAGATATTTAACCTCGACGATGCTGCGGCATCTGGAACGGAGCTTCTGGAAACGGAGAGCGAAGCGGCAGCTCTTTTGGAAAGCGAAGTGCTGGACGCAGATTTGCCCAACGACCAGGATGACCTCTCCGAGATTGACTGGGCCGCCGAAGAGGACGATGGCGTTGGTGGCGGCCTTGACGAGGCACAAGCTACGGCTGTCAAACGTAGCCTCCCAGACGATGACGCATACGACGGCAACGGTACGTTCCATCATGTCTGGCAATTCTGGACCTTTGCTAATGGGAAATAGACGTCAAACGTCATCGACCGACATGAGATCCCGTGTTGTCACACTAACATGGGCTGTTGGAGTCCCAGTCCCAATCAAGGCCACATTCGACTGACAACGGACGCGACAACTTCTGCGTCGGTATTTTGCGAGATGCGGCCAACCTAACGAGACATATTTACCGTCCCCGGCAAGTATTACTACACGGCGGCTTCAGCCATTGGTCGAGCGCCCAAGATCGAGTGGCCAAAGGTCCGACACGTCAACAGAAACTAACGGTAGGTAATCGCATTGCTAACTGACCGTGACAATGAGCAGCGCAGCCCAGGGCCTTGCCAAGGAGCAACTACGCCAGGCCAAAACAACGATACCTATTTTTACAGATCCCCGCCAACCCCTTTTCCGCTTCTTTTTGTTCTTTTTGTTCTTCTTTTTTTTACAAGATTTGGAGCTCTGCACCGAATACCCAACGTCTCGTGCAGCTTTCCGCTGAACGTGGCTGCCGAAATTCGTCGGATCTAGACGCAGGTCGGCGAATATAGACGTCAACCGGTTCAGGAAGTTGCTGGAGCGATGTAGGCGGTGATGAGAGGAGGGCATATCAGGTCGGCTTTCGGCTTCAGTAGACTACCTCTGGGCGGCGTTCGGGAAGCAGGGCATCGCTCGCTTCGGAAGGCGTTTTCAACGGAAGGGGATGGATAGCGCGATGGATCTAGGGTCGAGCTCACTCGATCCGATAGATAGCGCGTCGAGCCGTTCGCAGGTAGATAGTTTGGGGTGTCTTGACACCTAGGCTCCCTTGTACCAGGTAGGAGTTACGGAGCAGGCAATTCACCATGTCGAGTAAATTGCTACCCACGAGCTGTGTGCCTTGCTTGGGAGCTGAAGGCAATTCTGCTGTCATGGTAAAACCGCGGTATAGTGGAGCTCGTAGAAAGGCGAAGGAGCGGTAGTTGACGAAATACTGCTTACACCGTGGCGATGGCGCCCTGCCATGGCGCGGATCCCGACAGAAAATATGCCTTACGGATGCATGACCATGGCTGTTTATGACGATGCAGGATTTGCGCTGGCGCCCGTTCTCTGAGATAAGGTTAATTGTCAGCTTGGAGCAAGGCCTCGGAGCTAGGGCGACATCGAGCGTGTCACGAGAAGGATCGCTGGGGGTTGCAAGGCAGCATTCATATCTCCCAGCTAGGACTCCCGACCGGAAAGTTTGCGAGATCTAAACATGATGACCGAGGCTTTTCAGTGCCTGGCATCAAAGCTATACACGCTACAAACAGCAGACGAACACACGTTGTCGCGGATGTCGAGTACTCCATTGAGACACATGCACGTAAACATGCTGGTTGCGCGGACACCAGACGCAGACCGTTATGTCGATGGAGAATACGCCGCCTTGAGTGAACAATAAATCTCCTTATAGCACGCTGTCCCTGAACTTACACGTCAAGGAGCCAAATGCCATCTGCGGACGAAGCCTCTGATCCCATTCGCACCAGAGCCGATTCGGAGTCGGACACATACGATGCTGAGCTATGCAGCTTGTTCAGCTTATGCGGCCAGTCATCCTTCAGAACCGGCATGGCACCAGACATGATGAGAAACCAAATCCCGTCTGCGCAGCCATCATGATTGCAGTTGACTACGTGAGTACAGGTGTCTTTGTGGTTGTTGAAGCCGTAATCGCTAGGATACGTCATCACATTTAATGTGCAGGCGGTTCACGTTTGTTAATACTAAAAGCATCGCTACGGCAATGCCGAAGCGTCCTTCGGGTTGATTACCGCACTAATTAACGACGGCGAGGCGTAGACCTTCCCCGAGGACATAAGCTGTTGGGCGCAACTGCCATGATGATGACACAGATCGCGATCCGAAGTGCAGGGCTGGACTGGAAGGTATAAATGACGAGGCCGGCCTCAGCTGGACTCCGATATGTCTCAACACTCAACTTATCTCGAGAAGAATTGCCTATACACCATGACAAGAGACACTCGGAACTGTCCAAAATGATCGCCCAACAGATCATCACCATTGTTGTCCTTGCCGCCGGCGCTTCTGCCGCGGTTGTGGAAGCCCGCGCCCGGACTTGCACTTTGGCCCTTCACACGCTCAACACTCAGATGAGAATAACGCACGGAGTATCTCTTCGGGTCCCTGGCTAAACTGACGGGTTGTTAATGTTAGAACCCTGTTGGAGGTGGCGATGCGACTTACACGTGCGCCGCCGACCTTGACTACGGCGATAGACGCAAGCAAACCCTTTCGACCAACTGCCATGATATTACACGCAACGGTTGCTACAACTCGCAGCTTCCCAATCGCATCTGGTAAGTTCTGACATGACAAGCTGTCGCTGTTGGCTTGAGTCCAGTTACTGACAGAATGGTTGGTTCAGCATCCACACAAACTCGAACCTTAGTGACGGCTACCTCGACTACGGCAAGGAGCACCGCGATTTCAACGAGAAGGGCTGCGAGCACACTGGCTGGGCGACCTCGGCTGGTCACAAGTTTGGCATTACTTGCCACTTCCCCTGCACTTGAACACCGAAGAGATGGTGTCGCCAGGCCCAGGCGGTGCATACATGAGGCGGTCCAAGGGTGCTTTATTCCCATCCACGGTCCGTAGTCGCATTTATTTCTTAGGAATATATATGTGCTCTCGTAGGTCATCATAACTTCCGTGTGATTTCACATACGAATTGTATCCATTTTTGAAGACACATTTTGTTGCGGCGGCCGTGTTCTAGTCAAAGCCACCGGCTGTGTTCCGAGATCAAATGGATCGTCGGGCCATGAGATGACGATTCTCTGAGACATGGCGGTTGGGTTGTGAGGTTGGACTGCGTCTCGCAGAAGCTCTCAGACGTTGACGAAGCCGTCATCACGTGTGTTCCGAGATACCTCCATGCCTCCTAACCCACGGCCGGACGGGGGGGAGCCATCCCTGTCGACGTGTGTGTGCCCCTGGCAGAAGCGCGGGAGCCCCAGCCGCATGGAGACAGCAATGCTCGCTTACCTCTTCATCATTAGATGGGGCCGAGGCGAGAGACTCCCAGGAGCCCGCGCCACGCCTGCCGATCAGTGATGGGCCTCCCTTGATGTCGGTTAGGACGGCCGCCGGATTGCTGGCGCCGTGCTGCCCGTCTTCAGGTGAGTGCTAACTTGGTAAACTTGGTACTTGGGTGCCCTCAGGGCCGCGTTGTGGGGGAGTGGCGGCTCTGTCAGCGCAGCAGTGGAGGATGGCGCTGGTGATACGAGCCCCTTTTCAATTTCTTGCTCTCATGGCGCGTGAGTGCGAGTCGAGTCGGCGAAGTCGAACGCGGCATTCCGGCAAAGTTGATATGCACGTCATTCATCCTCGGTGTGGTTCTTTACGCCGGCGTGCGGGTTCGTCAGGCCCGCTGTTGGGTTATTGGTTCAACGTGGTCTTCTTTGTCGCGCATTCCACAGTGCAATGTGCGATCTGGTGACGACACGGCAACATGTTTCGATTGAAGCAAGGGGGGCGGACAATTGATACTCGTATGTGTTCGACGATCGTTCAAGGGGCGGCTGCAGGGGCGAGTGGATGCGCCGCCTGACATGGACAAGCATGACGAGGAACAAGTGTGCGCTCTCATCACTCCGGCTCCGTTTCGACTCTCTGCGGGCCATTCAAAGCCGCAAGACAACCTGGAACGTTCATCAATTGCATCAAACACATCGGGCAGTCTGCGCAGAGGAACAGGGTAGCACACCTCGCTGTGCCCAGGGGCAGGCCTCTGAAACTTCCGTGTCGGTGGGGAATTGGAGGCGAAGCACTGCGCTAGTCTGCACCAGGGAGTCCTGAGCCCTGCCCCGGCTTAGGTGCCTTCGAGGTTAGCCTCCACTGGACACCTCAGCCTGCGCTGCTGCAAAGCGTTCGCTGCCCGCGCGTTGAGTGGACCCGGCACGGGCACCTGCTGCCACCGCTGCCCCTGCCCAGGCGTGCCAGGCCTCCAGCACGTCGGGGCCGGGGGGCCTCGACTCCACTGCCCTGCCCTCCAGCGTACCACATGCACCCGACGCCGCCAGCAGGTGCATGCTCCGCAGCCATGTGAGAAACTGAGGAATCGATTCAGCAGCCCGACCCGCACGATACTTGGCTGGCGCCTAGCATTCGCCGCGAAAATCTTGTACCACCAGTGTCTGGGCCGCGCCCTCTGTTGGGGCGCAAGAGGTCACCAGCCGCCCGCTCCATCAACTCTGCAGCGCGGATTGGACACGCAACCACCTCGACCTCCCATCCATCCATCTTCTCGCCCTCTCTCCCGCAAATACTAGCTCCCGACGACCTGTCACGACACCCTCACGTCTCTCCCCTCGGGCGCTCGCGCGATAACCGCCTTTGGATCAGACCCTAACCGGCGGCTCCCAGCTCATTCGCCCCCGCCCGTCACGACGTTCTCGACGTCACAGACGGGCTCCACGAACCATCGATCACGACGCCCGATTTCGTCTCGAGCCGTTGCACCCGACCACACTCTTTCTTCGTCCTCCGCCGCAGACACACTGTCCTTCATGCTCGGTCCTTGACGATCACGACGACCTGCGACTCTTCTTCTGCGATTCCTGTTCGTGCGCGCCCGTGGATACTCGCTCTTTCCGTTCCCGCGCCGCGCAACATTCCGCTCGTTTTCCATCCGACCCCTCCCGCCGAAGCGCGTACCGTCGATAGCTCTGGATCGTAGCACGACCGAACTGCTGCAATCAACTACCGCAGGCTTGCGCCCGCTACTATCGTCGCGATGATCGAAGACAAGTATGTCGCAACTGGCTGGTCGTGTGCTTCATTTGGCGAGCGACAAACGGCAGCAGTCTTTCGGTTCTGACAAGTTTCCCGTAGATACGTCGGCCTCGCGCTGGCCATGTGCTCGGCTTTAGCCATCGGTAAGCTTCAAATGTCGTCGATTATTTGCGGACTACTTCTCATACAATTTCGATAGGCACAAGTTTTGTCATAACGAAAAAGGTTCGCCGCTTTCCATGCGACGCGACCGATACGCTAGGCTGTCGCTAACCATGATCTCAAGGGTCTGATACAAGCAGAGGAACGACATGGATTCGAAGGAGAGGGCTTCGTATATCTCAAGAACCCACTATGGTGGGCTGGCATTGCCACCCGTGAGCTGTCCTGCGCGCGACTCCGTCTCCGATCTAGGCTAACCGCGAGTCCACAGTCGGTGTTGGCGAGGTCTGTAACTTTGCCGCCTATGCCTTCGCGCCCGCCATTCTCGTGACCCCGCTTGGCGCCCTCAGCGTTCTTATCGGCGCCGTCCTCGGGTCTTATTTCTTGCAGGAGGAACTGGGTACGCTGGGCAAGCTGGGCAGCGCCATCTGCCTGATCGGCGCCGTCGTCATTGTCCTCCATGCGCCTCCAGATGAGGAGATCGAAACCATTGACCAGATCCTGCATTATGCAATTCAGCCTGGTATGGTTGCCCCAGTAGATCAATGTTGGAGCATCGGCTGACTCGTATCCTCCGCCTAGGCTTTCTCTTGTACGCTATTTGCGTGGTCGCATTTGCCGTCTTCATGATCTACAGAATCGCACCCGTCTACGGAAAGAAGAACGCCCTAATTTACCTCTCCATCTGCTCGACTGTCGGCTCCATCTCCGTCATGTCCGTCAAGGCTTTCGGCATCGCCCTCAAGCTCACATTCGCCGGCAACAACCAGTTCAGCCATCCATCCACCTACGTCTTCCTGATCCTGACTGCGGTTTGCATTCTCACCCAAATGAACTACTTCAACAAAGCATTGGCCACGTTCCCAACCAACATGTGAGTAATCCAGAGCGCCATGTTTTCTGTTTATCGCTGACCCAGCGAAATTGCAGCGTCAATCCGCTCTACTACGTGACCTTCACCACAGCCACGCTGTGCGCCTCGTTCATCCTCTTCAGCGGTTTCAACACGACCGACCCCGTCAATACGCTGTCTCTTCTCTGCGGTTTCCTGGTCACGTTCACCGGTGTCTACCTCCTTAACCTGTCTCGAGGCGACCCCAATGGCCAGAAGCTCGTGGCCGGACGCGGCGGTCTGGATGCTACACCAACAGATATGGTTTCCAGCTTCCAAACTCGGCGAAGCATGCAGTCACGGAGAAGCGGCGATCCCGCTCGACATAGCCTCAGCAGCCTTCACGGTGACAGGGAGGGCCTGATTCGGGCATACGATGAGGAGGAGGCCGCGGGTTTCGGCCTCACTGATCTAGCGGAAGAGAGCGAGGACGATGCGGGCCGGGCGAATGGCCGACCAAACGGCAAGAAGGAGCAACGCAGCAACGATATCGAACTAGAAAACCGGAAGTCTGCGGAGAGGTAGTCTCGCATTGTTCATGCCTCGGTCACGCAACGGCGGATCGGGGCCAAGCGAGGGCTCACGCGCTGTGTTTCGTGAGCCAATGGGTGTCTCATTACGATTGCATGGGCACCACTACCGCACTGTACATTTCCGGAGGCCATCTGGGAGACATGGTTCGCAGGTCGACATCCACAAATGGCACGTCTGCACGACTGACTTACCCGGCCTTGTACTTGTGCTATACGACGAAAGACGACCTGCACATGTCTGCCTACTTGCTATGACGAGTATCTTTTCGGCCAGGAGAGGGACGGGGTTCACAATGGATGGGTTAGGCGTTAAAAGTGTTGAGGTTCATCTCGATCGGTCTCTGATATTTTGTTGCCCTGTCCTGCTCTCGACGATGTTCCCCGCGTGCTTCATAGACGAGGCACCTCATGGACATTCAGCCTCGTGCATGCGCCCGGGGAGGAGCATTACGTTGGGGCTGGCGATGCCTCGTGTACGATGGAGTGGACGTTTGAGGCATCCCTTGGAAGGACTGCTACGGCGAAGAGAGAAGTCCCGGGCAAGGCATGGTGTGCCTGCTGGCGCACTTGTCTCGAGGCTGGGTGGCAGTACGACCAGCAGCTACTTAGACACCACGTAGGTCTACAGACTCCGGTAGACAAATTTTGAATCAACGGAACAAAACATTCCCACGGAGGTATTTGGCAGCCCGAGTACGTCGTGGGGCAGGTCGTATCGTTCATCAGATTCTCAGGTCTCATTCCTTTTTGGTGGCTTGGGTCTACCATTACAAAGCAAGATGAAACCTTCCTATGCCCTCGAGCAGATGCAAACATGATCAATTGACGCCTGAATAGACCGCCATTCCCTTGTCCTGTCCCGTCGTAATCGCCGGCGGCAGCAGCCTTTCGCTTCCACGTCCTATCCCCAGCTCCCGTGCAGCATTTATTGCTCAGCGGGAGCAGCCTCCGCCTCACCCTCCTGCTCAGCGTTGCGAGCGTCTTGGCTGGCCAGGTTCTGGGCGGCCTTAGCGCCGTAGTCCTGGCTGACGGGCTGGAGAACAGTCTGCTCCTCCTTGGGCTCGATGATGGTGACGGCATCGGGCAGAGACTTCTGGGGGCCGGCCTTGCCCTCAGGGTCAGAGCCGCGCATGATCTTGACCTTGATACCCAGGACACCCTGGCGGAGAAGGACGTGGCGGGTGGCCGAGTCGATGAAGTCCTTGGCGGGCTGACCGGAGTGGATCATGAAGCCGTCGGTGAACTTCATGCTCTTGGCACGGGCGGCACGGAGCTTGCCAGAGACGACAACCTCGCAGCCCTTGGCGCCGGACTCCATGATGAAGCGGAGGACACCATAGCAGGCACGGCGGACAGCCAGGCCGTTGAGGAGCTTGTAGCGGAGAGACTCGCACTGAGCGACGGCGGAGAGACCGCGGTTCTGGACCTTGGCGGCGTACAGCGAGACAGAGTTCTCGGGGAACTTGAAGCGCTTCTGGATGAGGGAGGTGAGCTCGCGAATGCGGCGGCCCTGCTCGCCGAGAACCTCCTGGGTGTGGGTGGCGCGGATGATGATGTCGGTGACGGTGGGCGTGACGCGGACCTCGACGCCGGAGTAACCCTCCTCAGCGAGCTCGCGCTGGAAGAACTCGTTCAGCTCGGCGTAGAAGACACCGTCGGCGACGAACTTTCTCCGCTTGGAGCTGCAAGAGAGAGATGAAGGTCAGCATTACTGCAATCAAGGAGTTTGCCCCAGCTTTCTGCCAGGCAGAGTTGCCCCCGAGACATATCACCGGTCCTCAACGTCCACTCGTCCCGAATATCTGACATTGGCGTGGCCATTCTCAAGTTCCCCAGGTGTTGGATAATTGGAACTATCCTCCGTGTGTGCATCTGAGACTTGGCGCGGCCAATGTGTCGTCGATATTCGCGAAAGTGGATGGCATCGAAGAGGTCGCGGCGAGGGGTCCCGGGACGGCGAACTGTGGCAGCACCGAGCACGGCGGAAACTCACATCTGAGAACCAGGGTGCGCCATCTTGAAGGATATGTAACGACGTCGAACGTGGGAGTTTGACTGGGTGTCGAGGGAGTCGGGCGGGTTTGGTCGGCGGGCGCTGGGGAAGATCGAAAGGTTTCGCGATCCAGGGCGGTAGTGTTGGCGAGCCTCACCCAGAAAGTCGTCCCTCAATTTTCTGGTGTGGGTTGAGCCCTAATCGAGCAGCCGACCGAGTGGGGGGGGCGGTGGGAGGCGCTTGGGTGGCTGCAAGTCACGGTGCGCACAGCCCGAATTTTTCTCTGGGCCAGCACGGGGTGGGGCACCGCCTCGCGACAGGGTGAGCCTCGGAGAATCTGTTTCGGCGGCGGCCGAGCGCAAACCGACCGGGGCTGCGGATACGCAGGATGGCTGGCTGGGAACCTGGAAACGACCTGATCCTGGTGTTCGCCTGCGGGGCAGACCCAACACCAGCTGGCCAGTGACGGGCGACACGCCGAGGCCGCGCCTGACAACGTCACCACCTCCCTCCGGGCTTCTGGTCTCAGGGCACTCGCGTCACTCCAGCGCTTAAACGCTGCAGCTGGTCCTGCCCGAGAGCCTCTATCCAGCCCGTGCACCATCCCGTCGTCGTCGCCCACCCGAAGCCACCCCACCTTCCCTTTGCACCTAGCCAGCCGTGCATCTCACCTCAGTGGTAACGTGGAGCCTGGCTTGTGATCTGCCATCCCCGGATCCAACTCTGCCAACTTCAACGACCAGCTCCACCGCTGCAGTCCGTGTAAGCGAGCATCTCTCTAACCCGCTGCATCAGCGGCTACCGCACCATCCGTGTTACAGTATCCTTTGGCGGCCTCACCGAGCCATGTCGGAGGTCTAGTTCTGATCGCCTATCCCGTCGCCGCCACCCCACCAACGGCAACTGACTGGCCAGCGCTCCTTGCGACTTCGTGCGTACACTCGGCTCGCATCACCCCTCCCCGGATACGGCGGTCCCCAGCCCAGAGAGCGTCGCTGGACGGTGTATAGCTGCAAGAGGGCAGTCAACGGCCGGCTGCCCGGCTCGGCTTCGTCACTCGGTCGCGTACTCATAGAGCGGTGCCGCTGAGCTACTGCCCGGGATGGAGGCTCGCAAGGTACGTCCGCCGCTTCCTCAACTCCTTGTCCGAAGCAGCTGCGCGGAACAAGGCGCCTGACACAGTCCAGGTTATCCACAATGTGCAAGGCATCTACGGCGGCCAGGCCACCAAGGGCACTCTGCGCTTGACCGACTTCCACATGGTCTTTTGCGCGCCCGTCGGCCCGCCGGCGAACGACACAGCTTCAACCCCACCCAAGACGAGGGAGCGATGGCTCACATACCCGATGCTCTGCTACTGCGCACTGCGGCCGACTCCTCCTACCTCGCGACAGGCACCCTCTGTCCGCCTCCGCTGCCGCGATTTCACATTCGTTACATTCAACTTTACCGAGAATGAGGCGGCTCGCGAGGCCTACGACTTCATCCGGGGGCGTACGTGCAAGTTGGGAACTGTAGAGAAGCTCTTTGCGTTCAGTCACAAGCCCCTTAAGAACGAGCGGGAGGTGAATGGTTGGGAAATATACGACCCCAAAGCGGAGTTCCGGCGGCAGGGCATCAGCGAGAAACTTGCCGACCGGGGCTGGAGGATCACGCACATCAACAAGGACTACGCCTTCTGCGACACCTACCCGGCATTCCTCGTCGTGCCGTCAAAGATCTCGGATAATGTCCTCAAATACGCGAGGGAATTCCGATCACGAAACCGCGTGCCTGTGCTGTCCTACATCCACCCCATTAACAACTGCACAATCACTCGGAGCTCGCAGCCGCTCGCTGGCATCACCAGGAAGACTAACGTCCAAGACGAAAAGCTCGTTGCAGCCTCCTTCTCGGCCTGGGTCCCGGGAGGCTCGGAAGAGCCTACACCCCCATCAAGCCAGCTCGACATATCTAATGGAGGCTCTATGTTGGAGTCCGAGCTGTCAGATACAGAGCGATATGAGGACGAACTCATTTCGAAGTCGGCAGCCATATACGATGAAAAGACGGGCGAGCAGGTTGTGTACGGGCGCCAACAGACCAACATGATCGTCGACGCCCGGCCAACCATAAATGCCATGGTCAACCAGGTTCAGGGCATGGGCTCTGAAAACATGGACAAGTATCCGTTTGCAACAAAGTCTTTTCTTAGTATCGAAAACATCCACGTCATGCGGAGCTCGTTGGGCAAGGTCGTCGAGGCCTTGAAGGACGCCGACGTCTCGCCTCTGCCGCCCAGCCGCGATTTGCTGCACCAGAGCGGTTGGCTGCGGCATGTTCACAGCGTTCTCGACGGCTCGGCTATTATTGCCCGTAGGATTGGCATCAGACACTCTCATGTGCTCATCCACTGCTCCGACGGCTGGGATCGAACAAGCCAACTGAGCGCACTTGCCCAAATAATGCTGGATCCTTATTACCGGACCCTCGAAGGTTTCATCGTCCTTGTTGAAAAGGATTGGCTGTCATTTGGGCACATGTTCCGGCTACGATCCGGCCACCTCAACCACGAGGACTGGTTCACTGTCCAGAAGGACGCATTCGCAGGGTCTAAAATCCAACCAGGGGAGAATGATGGCCGCAACGACGCCTTCCAGAACGTGCTGAGTGGTGCGAAGAGGTTCTTCAACCCGAACAAGGACGATGCCGACCTTGATGCAATTAGCGAAACGGCATCGGGGAAAGTCGTCGACGACGAAGCAACCACTCCCAAAATGGTCAGCCCCGTTTTCCACCAGTTTCTGGACTGCACGTACCAGCTGGTGCGACAGAATCCCAACCGCTTCGAGTTCAATGAGAGGTTCCTACGGCGTCTGCTATACCACCTCTACTCGTGCCAGTACGGAACTTTCCTGTACAATTCTGAGAAGCAGAGGAAGGACGCCAGAGTGAGCCAGCGGACATCGTCGGTGTGGGACTACTTTCTTTGCAGGAAGGCCGAGTTCACAAACCCCGACTACGATCCCACTATCAACGACAGGGAACGCGGCCAGGAGCGCATCCTTCTTCCCAATCTCAAGGAGATAAGGTGGTGGTATCAGCTCTTTGGGCGAACTGATGAAGAAATGAACGGCGCCCTCAACGCTGCGGCGTTGGCAGAAAACGACAGGCAAGCTGCAGTATCTAGCCTTCATCAGGGCAGCCCTGGTCCACTATCCAGGTCGGCTGCTGCTTCACCTAACCCCCCCGGCTTAGGTTCCAGCCAGTCCGTTCTCGCCGCCGTGGAGACAGCCCATGAAACCCTTACACCTGGCACCCAGCAATCGACGCTCCGCCGAAGCGCTTCCGCCGAGGGTCCAAGCGCCTTCTCCTCCATTCGCGAAGGCATCTCTGGCTTGAACTTGGGCAGAGGCATGCTCTCCAGTGTTGGGCAAAATAGCGAAGCGGCGACCGAAACGTCTCGCCAAACCGACCAGGAGCTGCGAGAGATGGCGTAGGAGGTCATGTTTGCAGAGTGGGATGAGCCCGGCCCATACGAAATCATAGAAACGCAGGACACGACCTACTATCGTTGTGAGACACCCGACTACAGCTTGTTGGGCCTCATTGAAGGGAAATGTACCGAGCCAGACTGCGAGGATTGCGGGCGCGGCTCGTCGGAGGGTGTCAGTTGCGGCTGGGCATTTGTCCATCAAGCCCAGAACAGCAAGGAGGGATCCAATGCGGCGTCACACCCACGTGTGAGGTCGCCCACTGAATGAACAACTGGAATACACGGTATGAGCACTTGAAGCGTTTTAGACTCCAGCGTTTGCTCGTTTCCTGAACGCAATTTCATCGCGTGTCGTTCACAGACACAGAACTCCGATCACGATACACAAGATCTGGCTGCAGCGCACGAAACCAAGTGGGCAGATCCACGATTGAAACGTCCTTGGCTGGGGGATACCCTCATAGCGTTCTCTAGCATAGACTTGATGTTGGCTCTGGGCTTGTAATACTACAACTGATACGCTTTCATCTGATCCCGATGAATTGCGTGATCCTGCATGCCCCGAGTAATGATTCGTTGGCAGGACTTCATGGTCAGGACTTAGCGTGGACTACCGGTACGTGTATTGGCATACAAGGCAGAACACACGCCGTGGTCCACCATGTCAAAAGAAGCACAGGTACAGATGGCCTTGACATGCAGACTGTATGATCTATCTCGCAGATGTCTTGTCTAGTAGCCTACATTGGCGCTCCCATCTCAGTCTTCACCGAAAACGGCTCTCATAAGAAGACCTCGAGGTTGATCTCTAGGGTGCTGACAGGGTATCTGTAGTCGACTTGGTTAGTAGCCGTGTGCACTTTAACATCAGACATGGACTCACCTCAAGTCAAACTTCTCCAGGACAGTGGGGTGGAGGATGCCAAACTCGCCGATGCGGGCCTCCTTGCCTCCAAGGCGGAGGTACACGCCCGCGGCGTGGCCAGGGAAGAAGGTGTCCTCGTTGAGCTCTTCGATCCAATAACCGTCGGGCTTGCTGGGGTTTTGCTTCACCTCAAAGTCGACGCTCTTGCCGCAGGTCAGGCCCTCTTCGTGGGTCAGGAAGGCAGTCCGCAGCATCAACAGGACACGGTCAAGGAGGCCATGGACAACCTCGAAGCCACTGGACTTGCCGCACCACGCAGCGGCGAAGTGCCTCTCGTTGCGAGCCTTGCGCTCCTCGCTCTCGTCCTTGAAGGCGACATCGGCAACCTCGAAGATCTTGATTGGGACGCTGTGGCCCTTGTTCTCGCGAATGGTCTTGAGCAGACCCGGTAGCAGCGACGTCCTTACGACCTGGTACTCCAGGGTCTTGGGGTTTGCCAGACGGACAACAGTATTCCCGTCATCCTTGCGGTTCAGCCACGCGAAGTTCTCGTCGTGACTGCACAGAATAAGGGGCATGACTTCGCTCCACCCCGCCATAGCAGCCTCCACACGCACGATATCGCTGAGCTTGTTGACCATCAAAGGGGCACCGACGGTCGCACTCCGCGTAGGCGCAGTCCGCGGCAGTTTGTTAAAGCCATAGCATACAGCGAGATCCTCCATAATATCGCACTGGTGCAGAATGTCGGCTCGGGTGGGGGGGATGGCGATCTCGAGGAGGTTGGCATCTCGGTCTGAGGGGCGAGAGGAGTACGCCATCTTGGTGAGCAGCTTACATAGAGACTCTGGCGTTTCGTTCAACCCGGTGCAGCTGTTCAAGTAGTCCACTTCGGCGTGCGTGACCCGAGGCTTGAGGGTCGGCGTCACCCTCGTCAGGTCGTTGTGCTCCGAGACAATCTTAACCGGCTCGACGGTGAAGGGTTCGGCGCAGTACATGGAGAACATTGTGACGAGCATGTCGGTGACAATTTGGAGCTTCGTGAGATCGGTAGCGGTGATCTCAATGAAGACATTTGTCGTGTTCAACGTGATCTTGGAGTGCTCCCCGTTGATGATGGGAGGAAGCGAGCACACGACGCGGTTCGCATCGTAGATCACGGGATACACCGGCGCGTCGCGGATGATGTGAAGGAAGCGGCCAAGATGCTTGTCGTTCTCGTAGAAGGTCATAAGCTCCTCCGCGTTCATCTTCTTGGTCTGGTTGAGAGGGGTGAACTCGATATCCTTAGGTGGCAGCGCCTCGTAGGTGAAAGGACCCTGCACAGTGTCCAGATCATGTGTTCCCATCGAGACGAGCGTTCGGTTGCGAGCCAAGTTTTGGTGCAGCTTGTCTTGCAGGGCAATGAAGGAGTCGTAGCGGTCCTGGGTGAACTTGATGTTGCGAAGGACGGCACCGGCGACGTAAGGGCGGACCTTGGTGGTGTCCGGCAGGACCTTGATGACCTGCTGCTGCTCGTTCTTGGGCTCGACTACCCGGAAGTTGGGAGGGGCGATGCGGCCGCGGAAGATGTTGAGGTTGAGGGCGATGCCCTCGAAGCAGAGCATGTCATATCGGTTGGCGGGGATTTCGATCTTGAGCTGCGGGGGTTCTTGGACTCCATTGACGATGGGCCGCTCATCGTCTTCGGTGTCCTCGTCAAGCTCGATCCCATAGTCGAAGCAGAGGTCCTCGAACTCGGCCTTGGTGAACCTGCGGCGGCGCAAGTTAGCATGGTCCACTGCCGTAGGGCAACACAAGCTGCTGGGGATCGCAAGGCTGCGCGCAGCCCAAGAGGAGGGGCAGAGTCGGGCACTCACTTCTGGCCAAGGGCCTCGTACAGCTTGTACTTGTCGACGGAGATGGTCGGCATGGTGAGATTGTGCGCTCAATGCCTCTCCTATGTGATTATTGTTGCTCCAAACGTGGAGGACTCGGTTGCGACCGGCGGCGGTGGGCTTGGTGGGATGTGGTCTTGAGTCACAGGGAATTTTTGTCCAGCAACAGAACGACCCAGCTTCGCCGTCTTGGGGGGTGGTGAGAGATTGGCGGCGACTTGGGCTTGGATGGGGCCGCAGTGGAAGGCCTTGTACCCCGCTAACGCCGGGCCCTGAATCGGCGACGGGTTTCCATGGCGGGGTGGACGAGATCGGAACATCCATTGCTCCAGCTCCCCTCCTCAGAGGCCGGGTAGTGGTCGGGTGGCCGAAGTGGGCACTAAGCGCAGTGCTAAGGTACCGCTTCTAGCGCTGCGTGAGGTGCATCATGAGGTACCAAGGTACGCCCAAGGAGGGGCTGCGTGCTGGCGGAGACGAGGTGATGTCAACTGTGGTTGGCGATTGCCAGAGACCGCGGGGGTCTCGCTTTTTGATGTTTAGCATCCAAATTGAAGATTCGCGGAGGAGCCTGTTCCCACGATCCGAATCTTTATCGTAGGCAGAGTCCCAGTCACTGTCTTCGCCGCCCGTGCTCGTGTGCCGTCCACCAGTGAGGCAGATAATACCGTCCCTCGCCCAACCGCTGGACGCTGGAACGGCAGCTTGTCTAGCGTCGTCAGGTTGTTTACAGCGCATTCCCCCTAGGTCATCTCCTGCCCGCCCCGTGCTGGGCTGTTGCCCCACCCCACCACCTGGGCACCTGGCCACAGCCTTTGCGAGCTGCCCGCCCGCCACGCCAGGTGCCCGCCAGGGCTGGGCTGCACTCCGCCCAGCAGGTCCGGTGCGGTGCGTCTGCGGGCTGCTGTTCTGCTCTGGCTGACCCCTTGCCAGCAAACAAACCCGCCTTGCTCGCAACTGGCCCGCTCGTGCTGTCAAAGCTTCTTCCAGCCTGAGCCTCGTCCCTCCCTCTCCATTCTCTCCTCCACACGACCATCATCAGCCTCAGCTTGTCGCCCGCCTGACATCGCGCTTCGACACCCCTGCGCCGCGTCTCGCGTCCAGATAACCCCTCACATTGGCTGCTCGCCGGATTTCGTCGCTCCTGGCAGCCAAGTTCGCGTTGAGTCGGGGCTCGCTCTGCGCAACAGCAACAATTGCATCACCAACCACCACGCGATCCGCCACCCGCCCGCCGCTGCACTTCGAGTCTCACCTCGTCCATCTCCTTTGCCCGCCCGTTTCCGACCCGTCGCCGCATCTAGCATCGCAACAACGATCGACGCGCTGTCTCCACGACGCTCATCATGGCTGACGCGCCCAACACCAACGATGAGCTCTACCCCATCGCCGTCCTCATCGACGAGCTCAAGGTACGCCTTTTCTGCGCCCTGGACTGTCCATTCCGGCATTTGAATCCCCAAGCTGACCCTATCTTGTCCAGCACGACGATGTTATCCTCCGCCTGAACGCCATTCACCGCCTTTCGACCATTGCTCTCGCCCTCGGTGCCGAGCGCACGAGGGAAGAGCTCATCCCGTTCCTGGATGGTCAGTGTGCCCTTCTTATCTCCGACGAAACCTCATTAACGTCATCCACAGAGTCGGTTGAGGATGAGGACGAGGTCCTGGTTGCCCTGAGCGAGGAGCTCGGAAGCTTCATCGAGTACGTCGGAGGATCTCAATGGGGCCATGTCCTGCTGTCGCCCCTGGAGAACCTGGCTGCCATCGAGGAACCCGTGGTGCGGGACAAGGTAAGCACACGATCTTGTCTACGGCCATCGAAACAAGGGAAACCGCAGGAGCAGTCTTGTTGACATATAACAGGCCGTCGAGTCGCTCAACAAGATCTGTGAAAGCCTCTCCTCTCAGCAGGTCGAGGAGTACTTCATCCCTCTCACGATCCGACTCTCCAAAGCCGACTGGTTCACGTCCAAGGTGTCCGGATGTGGCCTCTACACCACCCCCTACAAGAAGGTCTCTCCGCCTGTTCAGGAGCAGCTTCGCCAACAGTTTGGGCTCCTGGTGCATGACGAGACCCCCATGGTCCGTCGCCAGGCCGCCACCAACATGGCAAAGTTTGTCAAGGAGATGCCTGCCGCCATTGTCATCGACGAAATGATACCCCTCTTCCAACACCTCGTTCAGGATGACCAGGATAGTGTCCGGTTACTCACCGTCGAGATCCTCATCTCCATTGCGGAAGTCGTGCCCAAGGAGCAACAATCCAGCCACGGCGTCCTGCTGACGTCACTGCGCAACCTGATAGAGGACAAGAGTTGGAGGGTCCGGTACATGATTGCCGACAGGTTTGAAAAGGTGCGTCCCTTTCCCGCCTTCGTGCCGAGTATTTACCCGTACTAAAGTCGCGCACACAGATTGCCAAGGCGGTCGACGAGGAGGTTGTGTCCAGAGACCTGGTGCCCGCGTTTGTCAAGCTCCTGAAGGACAACGAGGCCGAGGTGCGGACGGCCATTGCTGGGCAGATTCCCGGGTTCTGCGCTCTCGTGGACAGGAACACGCTCCTGAACGACATCATGGGCAGCATCGAGGATCTTGTGTCCGACACCTCCCAGCACGTGCGTGCAGCACTGGGAACCCAAATCAGTGGGCTGGCTCCCATCTTGGGCAAACAAGAGTAGGTCCCGGTCTACTCATCATGTTGGAGGTTGTGTCTGGCTAACCGAAGGTCTCTCAGGACTATCGACCATCTGCTCCCCATGTTCGTGCAAATGCTTAAAGACGAGTTTCCGGAGGTTAGGCTCCACATAATCTCGAAGCTTGAGCTCGTCAATCAAGGCAAGGCATGCACCCGGAGCGTCCGGGAATTTGGCTAACAGAGCATAGTTATTGGTATTGACCACCTTTCGCAATCCCTGCTACCCGCTATCGTGCAATTGGCAGAGGACAAGCAGTGGCGTGTTCGACTGGCTATCATCGAGTACATTCCCCTCTTGGCCAGCCAGTTGGGCGTCAAGTTCTTCGACGAGAAGCTGAGCAACTTGTGCATGGGCTGGCTGGGTGACACAGTCTTCTCTATCCGAGAGGCTGCGACACACAACCTGAAGAAGCTAACCGAGGTGTTTGGTGTGGAGTGGGCAAGCGAGCAGATCATCCCCAAGGTCATGGGCATGGGCAGCCATCCCAACTACCTGTACAGGATGACCACCTGCTTCGCCATTTCCGTAAGTCATCCCCGGCTGGAGCCTACCATGCGAAGTTGCTGACAGTTCGATACAGACGCTGGCCACCGTGGTCAGTCTCGATGTGATTGCCAAGTCGATCCTGCCCATGCTTGACAAGATGGTCGACGACGACATCCCCAACATCCGGTTCAACGTGGCCAAGACGTATTCTGTTCTGATTAGCGCTCTGCGTCGCCTGCCGGAAGAAGGCACCCTGTACTCGCTGGAGAAGGAGGGCGCCGAGATCACGCCGTCTCCTCGCGGCAATGAGCTTATTCAGCAGCGGATCCTGCCGAACCTCACCAAGCTGCAGAAGGACGACGACGTAGATGTGCGTTACTTCGCCACGACCGCAGCGGTCGAGGCGACGGGTGCCTCGGGGGGTGAGCCTATGAGTACATCACCATAGAGGAACGGCGAAAACAGAAGAGACGTAATGAAGCAATCGATTATTGCCATGACTAGAGTAAACAAAAAGGGACAAGAAACTCCCTTGTTACTTCGTTTCCCTTCTTTGGGCTTGATGGCAAAGCGGTTTGGAGTTGAACAACAGCAGTGTAGGGGCATGTCTGTTTAAATTCATGTCGGCTAGATTCATACGAGTATTCAAAGCGTGAGCACCGCTCGTTCGAGGGACAGATCAAGTGAAAGGTGGAGAGTCAGGCATCCCAGTGGCAGTCCACGCTTCGCTGGTGGGGGGGTATCATGGTGCCGTACGGCGTGTTTAGAAACTGTTCCGACTCTATCTTGTTGCTGTTGTCCCTTTGCACGCCACTTCATATCCTCCTAAAACACAGCGTGCTGATGGTCTGCCCCTTGACGCCGCCGAAGCTAAACGTTCGATATTGCACACGTCCAGCGACCTCGAACTTCCCGATCTCGGCCTCCTCTGCTGGTGCCGACGTCATCGTCGCCGCCGCCGCCGCCCCGCTTGGCGGCACAAACCACGCCCGGAGCTCCTCTTCGGTCCAGTTGCAGCTAGTAACGAGGAAGATACCGCCGGGGCGCACCAGCCGCAGCACGCGCTCGCGGTAGCACTCGCAGAGGCGGCGGCCGCTGGCCTGGTCGCGCGCGTCGGAGAGGGATATGGCGTCGAAGGTGCCCTTGTCGAGGACGACGTCCCAGCCCGACGACTGGGCGCCGTTGAGGACGGTGGAAGACTCGCCGGCGATGATGTCCCACTCGGAGAACTCGACGGCGGGTGTTTCGTCGTCGTCTTCTTCTTCCTTGTGCTCCTCGGCCCGCGACGCAGCGACCTGCCTGGCCAGCGCGACGCTCTGAGGGCTGTAGTCGACGCCTAGCGCGCGGGCGGACCAGCCGTCGTCGCGCAGCGCAAAGAGCAGGGAGCCGTTGCCGCAGCCGAGGTCGAGCAGCGAGGACGTGCCCTTTGCCAATACCGGCGACTGTGACGACTCCTGCTGCTGCTGTTCCTGCTCCTGCTCGAGATCGGCCAGGAACTCCACCATCTTGGCCTCGGCGTCCGAGTCGTCGAACCAGACGGTGCCAATGTCGGACGGGTCGGCGGCGTGGTTGGACAGTTCATTCGTGTAGAGCTTGTTCCAGCTGTGCAGTCAGGCAAAGAGCCGGTTAGCTCAAAAGTCCCGACATCGTTTGCAGGCTGTATGGCACTTCATCACGAGCAATGGACGTATGGGGAGCTTGGGGGAAACTGTCGCTTGCTCGCGCGAGGATGGAGGGCAACCGGGGTGGTAGGCTCACTATTCTTTGGTGCCCAGCTCAGAGGGCTCCAGGTGAGCCGGCTGACTCTCCGCGCCGTCCATTGTCATGTATACCTTCACGCTTGCGCGTTCTTTGCGAGAGAGTGCTGTGTTGCAATTCGTTCAGAGAGCCTGCGGACGATTGTCGTGCAGCACCAGCGTCTTGATTTTGCCGCCAAGGGTCTCAGGAACGGCAGGCGGTGGCCATCGCAAATGGAGGGGCCGGAGGGGCAGCCCCTCCACCACATCAAGGCTCACCAAACTCCATACGAACAATCCCGTCGCTGGCCCGGCAGCTTTGCGGCAGTGCATCTTTATCGACTTTATTTCCCGAAATCACTCGGATTGAGATCAAGATTCAAGTTTTGCGTTTGGCACTCGTATTCCATAATATTCCCCAGGGTATTGACAGCAATACAACAGAAGAGGTACTAAGTCTTGGCGAGCCCTTGCCTTGGCCGAAAAGGTCAAGCAAGCAAGGCAGTGACGTCTAATAAGCCGCCGTATCAGTCAAACGCCGCCCATGCAGAAATAGCGGGCGCCGCACATGATTCACCCGGTCCGTGACCGGATGCCCCTGAATGTGCAGGTCCCTCTCCCGAGTCATCCTCCTCTACGCTCTTATCTCGCGTAGCATAAAGTGCATCCTACCATCCCGACAGCGGGTAAGCAGAAATCGGATGGAGCCGGGGAGGCTGTAGCGCAATAAAATCGTTGTCAAAAAGACCGTTCCCAACACCGGGCCCCATGCGTAAATCAACCGTGAACCCAAGAAAAAGCAGCCAGCCAGTGGAGAGAGACAAAAACACGTTTCGCTCAGTAGAAGCTCTCCACCATGGTGTCCTTCATGCTCGTGTTGATGTTGCTGGGGCCGGCGCCCTCGCCGAGTCGGAAGACGCTCTCGATGACGCTCAGCTCCGTGGCCGTGGTGTCGAGCCCGGTGACGGCGAGCCAATCGTTGACCACCATGCCGGCGCCGACGACATTGCTGCCGCGGTTGACGCTGCCGGCGACGAGAGGCACCTGGAGCAAGCTGGACAGCTCGTCCTGGTCCTGGATGCTCGTCTTGGGGTGCACGAGGCCGCCCTGGTTGGACAGGCTCATGTAGCTGCCGACGAGGACGTTGTCGGCGACGGTCTGACGGAAGACCTCGACGCCGAGCACGTCGGCGATGATCTCCTCCGTCTCGCGCTCCAGATCGGGGTGAATGAGGGCGATGTGGTCATTGGTGGCGATGACATTGCCCAGGGCCGAGAGGCGCTCCTCGATGCGCTGGATGCGCACCGAGTCGGGCAGCGAGTTGCGCAGATGTTGCAGCTCCTGGTCAGTCGTCGACGTGGGCACCAAGAGGCCCTTGCGGTTGCCGGCGGTCAGGCGGCCGATGATGCGTGTGCCAGCGATGGTTGTCCGCACCGTAGGCACCATGTCTTGGAGCTCAGCCTCGAAAACACTGCGCCGTTTTGTCAGCTTCATGTCCATCGCCAGGGTCAAAGGCATAGGCTCCCGGGTCGCAATGGGCGACGCCAGGGCGGGCGAACTGACCTGTAGAAGTTCTCGCTGGCACCGAGAGCCACCAAGGCATATGAGTTTGTGAGAGTCGAGAAAACTCCAACCCTGCGATGTCATGTCAGCTTCTTCGACGCAGGACTCAAGTGGTGCGGACAGCCAGCCCGTCGGCACAGGCTCGAATGGCGGGGGCGGGGTCGTCGCCGGGCCCGGGTCTGTCGAGGAAGGGTGCTGACATACTCGTTGGAGTTCTCAAATTGCGCGCGTACAGCCATGATGTGGTTTTGAAATCGGGCGGATTGATGGCAAGTTTGATTCGGTGGGTGAGGAGGTGGCGGGGGGTCGGTGGAGGAGGTGAGGAAGGTGTTGAGGTCGCGGGATGCTCTGACGCAAGCTGATTTTTCTCTTGAGCGAGAGGAGTGGATTATTCGGCTGTGGTGGGCGCGGGTTCGACCTCGCCTTATGTACTAAGGCCGCCAAGGTGTGGTTGGAAGTAGGTACTGGCCGCCCCAGGGTGCCGTGGCGAGTACTCGGTGCTGCAGCCCAGCACTGGACAGCACTGTGGTAGGCGGGCAGCTTGGGCCGCAGTCCGTTGCAGGAGTGGGGGGAGCTATCTTGCTTGGTCAGAGGTAAGGTTTCCCGCGCCGCGCTGGAGCCGCTTCCGTCCACAACCACAACCATGGCCTCTTTCCAGGAACGCCTTGGGAGAAGCCGAGTCACATCTCCACCCGGATTGGAAATTTTGCAGCTGGCCGAGATGCCCTGCGCCTCTCCCCGGGTCTCTTTGGCGGTCGTCCCGCGCAGAGCGAGGAACCTGATACGCCGATGGGAAGCCGCACCAACGCCTGCAGGGACGGGCAGCTGCGCGGCGTCAGATGTGTGACTCAGCGCGCGCACCATGACCATGACCCCAGTTTTGGCCCGTTGCCACTGGCTAGACAAAGTATGAGTCTTTTCGAGTCTTGCCCGCGCTGCTCATCCTCGTGCAGTGCCAGATTGCCCCAAAACGGCATGCATTGTGGAGCGGCTGGAGGCTAGGGAACAGTCACACAGGCACAGGGTCCTGCAATGCCATCAAGAATGGTTGCTTTTGTTCGTCAGTGTCGTCACGGCATCTCGTGCTCCCTGCCGCGGGTCGAATTGAGTTTTGCGTGTCTTGTTCCCCACAGTCTACATGTCGACCGAGCCCTCATGTCGCCGCGCCCATTTCAACAACGGCTCGCGCACGTTCGTCCATAGAAAGCGCTCAGCTATCAGACATGCATCTCTTTGGTAACAGGAATCTTGCCTATACCGTACCGCAGTGCGAGGCACCGCGTCGCTCCGAACCGCCATCATCCCAGCCGTCATGATGCAATCCCATGGCCAACTCCAGGCCAACCACGTCCACCCACTTGAATCCCTGGTATCGCCTCGACCCTCTTATCATCATGACATCTCGCCAGCTCGAAAATGCACACTTCCTTGTCCACCTTCAACCGTCACTGTCAGCAGTCGCTGCTGACTCCTGGACTCGGCGCTCCGCTCGGGTGTAGTACCTCAGACCGTCCACACCGGCGCCTTGATCAGCACCTGGCGCCCCCTGACCTCCAACGCAACAAACCCCGCGAGCCGCACCTTGCCAGCGTCGTTGGGAAGTCCTGCACGAGTGTCCCTGTCAGTACTCATACGCTCCGCAAACGATGCGTTACTGCCTTTCCGGCCCGCCTCGAGAGCGTTCATGGACCCGCTTGTCAACATACCGGCCTTGGCCTTGTCACCTCGCACCCGGCCATTCTTGTCCTTGTCCTTGTCCGGCTCGTCGTCGTCGTCGTCCCCGCCTGCATCTACCTCGGACTTCTGGTTCTCAAGAGCCGGCAGGCCCGTTTTCTCAACCTCCATCAGGTGCGGTTGCACCGTCTCCCCGGGTAGAGGGTACATGATGGCCACGTCGCGGCTCTCTAGCGGTAGATTCGACGCGATCGCCACTGCCAGCTCCGCAATCATCGACGTACTGCCTTCAACCCCGGCAGGTGGCGGACTGGTCAGATGCTGATAAAGGTGTGTAGTCAAGTCTGACGTCGCTTTGCTGGTAAACATCGTTCTATTGTCCGTCGTCGTCGAGTTGAACTTCTTCTGCAGCCCATCCAACGTGGCCATCCTCCAGTTGACCACCTTGGTCGTGAGAGCGTCGAACTCTTCTTGGCTGTGCATGGTGTAGGCGTTGCCGCGAATACTGAGCTCGATCTCCTTGAGCTGGGAGCTGAGCTGTGGGTCGAGCGCCGGGTGGAAGCACTTGTTGAATATCTCCTCCACGAGCCACCGCGAGACAATGGCCCGACCGACCGCAGTCATCTCCTGCTTGCCCGTCTTAAGCGCATCGGCGCTCACGTAGCCCTCGAGCCATTGCGGCAGGCTGCGCCAGTCCTTACGGATGTTGAACGCCAGGTTGTTGATGGCGCCATTGAGGCGGTTGAATCGAGTTGTATATTCGTTGTCGTCCCACGCAGTACGTGACGCCGACATGCGTTGATTCGCGACGGCGTTCTGAAGCGTCTCCACCTGGCTCGTGAGCTGCTCTATTTGCGACTTGCCGTCAAAGTAGAGTCGCTTGACATTCTTGTACTTGGTGACTATTTCCAGGTCAGTTACTTGCTATGAGGCGGGTGGCACTGATGCAATGAGAAGGGTGGGACTCACGGAGATCCTTGAACTGCTTGTCTGGGTCAACATCGCGGTCGGCGTTTGACGGCTGCGGGCTGTTCCGGCCTTGTTCGACGACACCTGACCCTTCATACTGCGATGCCCTGTCGCTTCGGTAGGCGGGGTTTTGGGGGCCACCCTGGCCGTGTGGGGGCGGAAGAGGGCTCATGGAATTCATGGGCACGCCGCCTTGGCGATACCCGGGCGGCGGGCCGGGCGGCGGTTCGACTTGTCCACGCAGAGCCTTGTCGTTGTCCAGGCGTCGGCTCGGGGCCGAGGCTCCTCCGGGGGGAGCCATTGCGGATTGCTGCTGGGTCTGACCCTGGTTGTTGGTCACCTGGATGGGAGGCAATTTCGGGGTCGACAGGGACGGGTCTAAATCTTGGGCAGAAGCGTAGTGCACGGCGGGAGAGCTCTGCGCCGACTGCTGCTGATTGGCAGATCTTTGGTCAGGGTCGGTAACCGGTGACTCGTGCGAAAGCTGGGAGATGGTTTCGGGATTTTGCTGCAAGCCAAAGTGACTGGTTACGATACGCGGCTCCTGGCCGGGCTGATAAGGAGCCTGCGGCGAATTGCCCCCGTGATGAAACTGTTGTTGCTGGTGGCTCGGCGGTGGCTGAAGGTCGTAGGTCGCGGTCTGCTGCTGTGGTGGTGGTGGTGGTTGTTGCTGCTGCGATTGCTGCTGCTGGGGCTCGTAAAGGATCTGTTGGTCCTGACCGTGCAGTGTTCCCTGACGTTGCAGCGGCTGCGGCTGGTGCTGGAGCTGCTGATGGTGCTGTTGCAGCTGGTGGGGCAGGTGGTCCGGCGCCTGATACAGCTCCTCGTCGTAGGGCGACGTGTCGAGATGCTCGCGCGACACTTGACGGATGGTTGTGCTCGGGTAAACAAGTCTCGAGTCCTGCGGAGGGATGTGGGCGTTAGACTCTTGCGCAGAATACGGGTACTCGTCCACCTCGCCCAGGTCGTGCAGTGGTGAGGGCTGTTGGCTGGGCGGGCCCTGGTACCAGTCGCGATCAGAGCCAGACGGTGGCTGCTGCTGCTGCGTGGCCGGCGGCAGGCTTCCAGTCTTGATGGGAGGATTGCTCACCCTCTTCGACGGCCTTCGTGCGAGCCCTGCGGTGTTGTCGTAGGAGACCTGGTGGGCGTGGCCGTGCTGCTGCTGAGGCGCGGGGTCGTGAGAGCTCCGGCCCGAGCCAAAGATGCCCTTGAACAGCTTGCGGGTGGACCGCTTCTCAGGAGCGTTTGTTGCAATTGGCGACGGCTGGTAGCTCGCCGTGCCCGGCAGGTCGTCAATGGAGCCGGAGGCGATGCCGTAGACCTGGGGGTGCTGCTGCTGGTGCTGCTGAGTTAGGTGGTGGACCGACGGGTCGAAGCGTTGGCTCTGGGAGCGGCTGACTGCAGCGGCGTCGGCAAAGTCGATGGGCGTCGCAGGGTGCTGGTGACGAGCATCAAAGACGGGCGAGCCGCCGAGAGCGACGTCGGACGAGGTCTGCAGCGGCGGGAGCCTCACGCCGGCCGACTGCTGGCCGTAAAAATGAGGGTGCTGCTGCGGCTGCGGCTGCGGCTGCGACGACGACGACAACGACGAGGCGGTTGGGTGTTGCTGCTGCTGTGAAAGTTGGTGTTGCTGGGCGTCAACAAAGTGCTCGTTGGAGCTGAGGCCCGTGGTGGAAGACAAGGCTGATTGGGGGGTTGCGTCGACTGGCGAGTCGGCCTGGCCTGGCGCTGCACCTGCACCGGCGGCGGTGCTGCTATTATTATTATGACTTGCAGTGCTGGCGGCAGGCGCAGGGACCGTGGCTGCTGCGCCTGGGCCCGAGCCCAAAGCAGCGGCAGAGGCAGAGCCTGACCCGGGGCCAGAGACGGGCGAGGCAGCGGGCAGCGGTTGCTCGGCTAATGCGTGCTGCGAACGGTTGCTGTGCTTGCTCAAGCGACCAAAGCTCGGCATCCTTGACGATGCTGTCGCCGTCCCGGAGGGGGGAAGAAGGGGGAAGGGGCCACGGGAAGGGAGCGCGGACTGGGGGGGTGGAGAGGTGTGTGAACGCCCGTGTGTGAGAGGTGTGAGTGGGCGTCGCGAGTCGCGACGGCGCAACAGCAGAGGCCGGCGACGAGACGGGGAGAGGGCGGACGGACGGGCAGACAGCAGCAAGGAAGGGGTCCGGGGGACGGAGAGGGGCGGCTAGAGCGGATGAGAGACGGAGGAGGAGCGGCGGCGACGATGCGGGAGCGGTGCTTTGACGACGATGGCTGACGCTGGATGATGCTGGCAGCGTTGCTATGATGACAGGTCTGCGAGTCGAAATGGCTCTCCTTTTTTTGGGGAACAACCAGGAGGGACCACGCGCGGCTCCCGCCAAACCCCTCTTCGATGTGCAGGGCCAAGAGAGCGCCGCACGGAGAGCCGCCAGCTGCGGGCGTGGTGAATGACGATGGACCCGGCCCAATGCCCAGGAGGGAAAGGTAGCAGGCTCGCTGAGGGGCGCGACGGGGCGGAGGCGGGCCTGATCGGATGGTTTGGATGCTGGTGCTGACGGGGTGCTTGGGATGGCCGCTGGAGCTCCAACTGACGAAAGGGGGGGGGCGGTGGTCCAGCTGCTGCCGCGAGCTGCGAGCTGCGAGCTGGGATGCTGGGGAGCTGCGGGAGATGAGCAGCAAGCCAAAGCAAGCCAAGCCGTCTATTTTGGGACGAACGTGGCGAGTCAACGGGTTGCCGGTGGAGAGAGGGGCAACGGGGGGGGGGAGGGACGATGCAAAGAGATGGGATGGACTTCGAGTCGACCAGCAGCAGCAGCAGCAGCAGCAGCAGCAGCAGGAGGCGGATGGATTCGCGCGTCGGCGCCGATTGGCGTCATGGGGACCAGCCCAGTCTCTCGCCGGCGTTAATCACGCGTGGCGCGTGGCGGCATCAGCATGAGCAGCTATTATCCGGCCCAGCAGAGCTGAAAAGGACGACATCCAGCGATCACACTCCGCCCCCCTCAAAGACGGCGGGGCCATTGGCCGGCTGCCTCGAGTCGCGGTCCGTGGATGGCAGGAGGCAGCAACCGCTGCTCCAGGGGAATCTCCTATTCTCCAGTTGCACTTCGTACTTCGTACTACGTGTTCCACCCCTCAGGCACGAAAATTGTTACTTCGTCAGGCAGTGGAGGACAAGCACAGCGGGAGACACTTACTACCTTACCTAGTAGGGCGGTGGGCACTGGGCAGTGCACCCGACTTAACGCACGGCATGGAATACAAGACAAGTGCCTGGAATCTCAGCCGCTTCCCCTGCCCAACCCGGCCCGCATGCGAACACTCGAGAGCTGCCCACGGCCAGTCCTACCTCACACTAACATGCTTGGAACACAGACTCGGCCGATGTCATGGCCCAGAGAGGCAAGGTCGTGGAAGCTCCCCCGTCGTCAGCAACGCTTGGGCTTCCCTCGGCGGTCCCACTGCTATATTTATCGCCCTGCCTCCGTCTGCCCTTCCTCAACGCACGTATCTCGGGACATGGATTTCCATGCAGCTCCGTCTCCAGCCATGTCACCGCGCTTCTTCCGGTGCCAATGAGCGTTGCAGCGCTGCAGCCGTAGATCTATTTCCTTGCTCCGTCCCCGGCCGAAACGTGGGCATCAGCACGCCATATCCATCCCTCCCGAGCAGCGGATGCATTGCAGACTCCCCGAAAAGGCCTTCAAAACCGTCACTCCGTGGAGCAATTTCGGCTCCAGTAGCCTTTCGATGGAATCCACCAAGCTGCCAAGCAACGTGTCAACGCGGTGATCCGCACAAGGACTGAGTCCCTGACGCTCCGCACACTCCGGCACGAGACCAAGATGACCCGACCCGTTGAGGGAGCGTACGAGTATGCGGGTCTTTGAACTGGGACACAAAATTTTCGGCCATTGTTGGCAGTCGGGAATTTTCAACGTCCCATGTCTTCGGGCGTGAGAGTTGCCGCTTGTTTCGCTTGACGGCGATATTTGCAAACCATCCCACATGATGGCCACAAAGCGTGTGATGTCCACCTTCTCGAGCTGAACCGTCGACGGCACCACGTTCTCTTCTCCTCAGGTCGCACATCGGCGATAAAGCAGGGGTTGAATCACCGAGTCAAGACAAATCTCTGTCAGATTCCTGCGTCTTCAACGCTGTTAGTGCCCACGCGATTGTCCACTCCACCTGCTGGTGAGGAACGAATCGCAGGCCACCCATTTCCGCGAGAATCGGTAGGCTACCCTGGAGCGTCCCGTTCTTCTTGACGACCACATTGCTGCCCAATTTTGTTTGCCTCACGTGCCGCGGACTTTGACGACATGCTGGTCTGTTTGCGGAGCTTTACCGTCGCGTAATGAGCGTGGTCACGTCATTCGGATGACCCTCAGAGTATTGTCTCTATGCGACGGCCGCGAGATGCAATGTTGGCCACGTCAATCAATGAAAACCCTAATGGCAACACAAGTGAGAAATACGGCAGGGTGGAGGACGGCGTGGCTACCTCTGTCGAATAGAGCACATGAACCACGACCCAGCGCAGGCCGACTTGACCTCTAAATGCCTAGCGAGCACGGCGCTCGATGCTGGGCGCGCGGCTTTGGAACCCGACAGCGATACCGGCGGGTCCGCCTCCGTGTTACTGCCCGATACGGCTAACTGTTTTGCGGGGTGATCGCGGGTGCCGCGGGGCGTTTTGCTGCGGAGGACCCCGAACCGTCACCGCCGATAGTCCGGCACTGATTCACGAAAGATAACAGCACAACCTTAAAAAGCCATTGTCTCGTCTCACGACAGCATCTGCTCGACAAACCAGCCTAATCACCGCTGCATAGCCGCGCGAGTCCGGAAGCCACCTGCGTTGACTGGATGTAGCTACGTATGGTCCCATCCGCCTGCGAGACGAAGTACAATGGCTCTCCTCTCCCCATTTTACCTCGGTGTGGCAGCCGTGCTGCTGATGGTCGTGCATCTCGTGCGCTGCCTCAGCTCACCGCTACGCAAGGTGCCGGGACCGACTGTCTCTCTTTTCACGACCTTGGTCCTCAAATGGAAGGAACTCAACGCAGGCAGGACTATGTATGTCCATGAACTGCATCAAAAGTACGGCCCTGTCGTCCGCGTGTCGCCCAATGAGGTGTCCTTCACGTCCTGGCCTGCCCTCAAGGAGATCTACTGCTCAGGCGGGAGCGGCTACGACAAGTCTGATTTCTACAACCTGTTCCGCATATACGGGAGGAGGACCATGTTCACGACGCTGAACAAGGCAGATGTGAGTGTGTGCCGGCCAAATGAGATAGGAGCGTCGCTCACGCGCAGCAGCACGCCAAGCGCAAGAGGATCCTTGCCGACCGATATGCCAACACCAATGTCATGCGGAGCTTGCCCATGCAGGGTATCCAGGAGCGCTCCCGCGCGTTTGTGCGCCGTTGCGCGTCGACGTCGGGCAAGAAGACGTCGGAGATCTTTGTAGGTTTTGCAGGAGGCTGAATGCAAGTCGACGGCATTGGAAGGCTGACAATAACCTGGCAGATGGGTTCGTTTGGTTCCACAGGAGCCTCTTCCCAGCGTAATTGATACTGGCTAACCCATGCACGCAGCCCTGCACGCATATGCATGCGATTGCATCACGCACCATCTGTTCCATCCGAATGGCTCGGACTGCCTTGGAAAGAAGGAGGATGAAGCCATGATGCACCAGGTCGCCGCTGACGACAGCCTGCAGAGTGAGGACCCCCGGTCGATGTGCGGCGTGCCTTCGATATGCTGCATGGCATTGCTAACAGGGGGCCAACCCTACGAAACTCAGATCGCCTCATTTCGCACTACAACCCGACCTTGCACCGGCTTTTCGCAGGGGTTCTCTCTCTATTTGTCAAGCCCAGAGAGGTGCCCTTGGCCGATAACTACGTGCTAGAGACGAGCAAGCGCACCGATGCCGCCAGCTTCACTCTCATGAGCCGGCTGGAGGAGAAGTCGGGCGAGCTTGATGCCATTGATATGGCAGCGGAATGTCTGGACCACATGGTTGCCGGTATTGACACGACGGGCGACAGCCTGTGCTTCCTCCTGTGGGAACTGTCGCAGCCGCGTTCCCTTTCCTATCAGCGGCGCCTGACCGAGGAGCTACGAAGCAAGCCCGAAGCAAGTATCGATCAGCTGCCGTTCCTCGACGCGGTCCTAAACGAGGCACTGCGATGCTTTCCCGCGATTCCCATGTCGCTGCCGCGCCTGGTGCCGCAGGGCGGGCGAATGGTGGATGGCGTGTGGTTGCCCGAAGGCACCATAGTGAGCTGCCAGGCCTATTCGGTGCACCGCATCAACGAGGATGTGTTTCCGGAGCCAGACAAGTTCGACCCGGACCGGTGGCTGGCGCCCGAAGGCGACACCGACCGGCGCCGGCTGCTCTTTGCGTTTTCCAACGGCGGACGGGGCTGTGTCGGAAAGCAGTAAGTGGCGTACGCCGACCGATGCAAGAGCTATATATGCTAACGATGGACGTGCAGCCTTGCCCTGGCCGAGATGAAGACACTGCTTCGAGACGTGTACTCGCAGTTCAGTACGACGCCAGACGCCTCCATGACGCAGGAAGCCATGGCCATGTCGGACCAGCTCATCTCAACGCGACCCATGGCGCAACGGTGCCTGCTCCAATTCCACCCGCTTGTGGATGCCCCGATGGAGAAATTGTGAGGCAGGCGTGTGCACCGGGGGGTCCGACTTTTTATACATATGCTTTGTGCGACATATGTGCGTCCAGACGAAGCGCTTAGGGCAGCTCTCGATTGCAATGCAAGACCACTTCGTGCTCTGTAAATATCGCGCGGGATTCACAAGCCGATGCCGAAACCGAAACAAGCATTGACGGCGCATGCTGTGTAACAGCAACCGTCAATCGTGGCGTGACTCGACGTTTGACTGCATTGTGCAACCCCTCGGACCGTGGACGTTAACACCGAAAACGCCCAGACAGGCTTGGGCCCAGACAGGCTTGGGGTTGAGGAAAGCCTTTGTGGCTGCCGATCCCGTGACGTCGACGACAAGGGCTGCTAAGAGGCACGCTGCATATTTGGACTTGTGACGGCCAGAAATAAAAAAAAAGGTTGGTGGCCACGATTGGCCCGAGACACGAATGAACAAGCCAGAGTCACAAGAAGGGCCCTGACGAGGGCACGGGTTTGTGCGCAAACGAGTAAATTGTACAATAGTATACGTCGAACGTGTTCGCGCGAGTCGGGTACAGTTTGTGGCAAAAGGCACTGCGTGGTGGGTGAGTGGGCTTCCATTTGTGCAACCGCACCTCACCAGCCTCCAGGCACTTCTCGTCAGGCCTCATCCCTCGGTCTTTGGCCGCAAGTCCGGGCGGCAGGGACGGGTGCTGCGGCGGGCGCAGGTGGTACCCGTGGACAGGGCGAGCCACTCCAGGGGGCCCAGGCGCGGGTTTCAGTGGCCGGCCCTTGGTCCGAGACGGCTCGCCCGGAGGATTGTCCACCTCAACCTCATGGAAGGGACTGGCGGAGACAGTTGAGACGTGTCAACGTGAATGTACACCGAGCGCAGTACACACCGTTGCAGGTACATTTTACCCGACGTGAGGCTTCCGTCCAGCTTTCAATGGTGAATGGCTGGCTGGCTGGCTGGGTCCGAGTCCCGTCCGGTGCCCGGGCATCTGGGTGGGCAAACCGTCCAGGGCGGTACGTACCTGCCCTCGCCCCCCCCGCGCCTCCAGGGCTCTCTCTCCCTCAGTCGGACCCCTCCAGGCTCCTTCCAGACACTCGGGCACCGGCCAAAATCTCTGCCACACCACACGTCGCCTCTTGGAAGGAATTGTCTGTCGCCTTCTCTCGCGCTCCACTTTCTTCTCGCTGCCTCCTCCCGCTCCCACTTTTCGTCCAAGCAAACATCTCCCCTTCTCTTTGCACCATCCGACTGCTCGGTCAACCGCGCATACCACGACTACTAGGGCATCTAGTTGCACCCGCACCGCCGCAAATCAAACCGCCTTCGGCCTGCTGACTCCTCCAAAGTCGCAGAGCGCACTCCCCGCTTCCCGCGCCCGCACAAAGCACGTCCTCGCACATCCCGTCCCGTCCCATCGACCCGACCCGACGCCGCTGAAAACGACTCCCCCAGAGTGCCGCGTCCTCGTCTCTTGCTTCCCAGGAAGAAACCAAACACTTAGATTCCCTCGGCGCCCATTGCTGTTTATGTATCAGCACGATCGACTCAACGTGTACTCACGCCCCCTCAAGCTGCAGTTATTTCGCATACCGCGAAAACCGTGTAGCCCCTACTTCAGTTCCGACGGCTGAATACTTGCGAAACAAAGAGTTCATGCCTGCTCTACTGCATCACAAGACCTCTTCCGGCTCGCCCCATGCCAACGATACCTCTCCTTGAGATCTGATACTCTCGTCCTCGCTCGACACGCCCGCCAGCACATTCTGCCTCGCGGCCCGCTTCATGACGCATTCGCCTCGTCGCTCGTACTAGCCTCGACCTGCCTCGACAAACCTCTTCAACGCCAGCCATTCCAAGGCCAAACACCTCGTTAAACCGCCAATATGTCCCTCATCAACGTCCGTCGCGATGTCAGCGACAACTTCTATCGCTACAAGATGGAGCGTCTCCAGACCAAGATTGAGGGCAAGGGTAACGGCATCAAAACCGTCGTCGTCAACCTGCCCAGCGTTGCCGCCTCCTTGGCACGCCCGCCCTCCTACATCAACAAGTACTTCGGCTTCGAGTTGGGTGCCATGACCAACGACCAGCCCAAGGACGACCGTTGGATCATCAACGGCGCTCACGAGGCCAGCAAGCTCCAGGACCATCTCGACGGCTTCATCAACAAGTTCGTGCTCTGCAAGAAGTGCAAGAACCCTGAGACCGATGTCCACATCATCGGCAATGACCGCATTCTCCTTGACTGCAAGGCCTGCGGCCAGCGCACCGAGGTCGATCTTCGCCTCAAGCTCAGCGGCTACATCCTCAAGAACCAAGCCACCAAGAAGGGCAAGAACAAGGCTGAGCGTCGCGCCGCCAAGAGAGCCAAGCAGCAGAATGGCAACGGCGCCAAGGAGAACGGCAATGGCAGCGGTGGCGAAGACGGCTCCGAGCATGGCTCCAACGAGGCCGAGGAGAACGGTGACGCCCCTGGCAGCGACGATGAGTTCCAGAAGGTTGCAGCCGCAGCCCCTGAGGCGGACATTGAGGTCAAGGACGACGAGTGGGCCGTTGACATGAGCGAGGAGGCCGTCAAGGCCCGTCAGGCCCAGCTTCCTGGTGAGTTCAAGCAGAAGCTCAGCCTCAACGATGACGATGATGAGGACGGCGAGGGTGGCGGCAACACCGTCTACGATGAGCTTGGCAACTGGATCCAGCAGGAGGCCGAGGAGAAGGGCGGCATTGACAAGGTCGACTCCATCAACGTCTACCTCAAGGCCAAGGAGCTCGAGATCGAGGGCAAGCACCGCACGGTTCTCGTGCTCGCCCAGACGCTGTTTGACAAGAACATCTGTGCCCAGATCCCGAAGCGCGCCAGCATGCTTAAGCAGGTATGATATTTCCTCCGTTTGTTGTTGAAGATGGTAGCGTAGACTAACGCCGCCCTAGATCATCTCTTCCGAGCGCCACGAGAAGGCCCTGCTTGGAGGTACCGAGCGCCTCATCGGCGGCCTCGCCGCGGACAACGCCGACATGTACCAGCAGATTGTCAAGATCCTGCAGCTCTACTATCACCATGACCTCGTCAGCGAGGAGGTGGTGACCAAGTGGGGCTCCAAGGCCAGCAAGAAGTACGTGGACCTCTCCACCTCGAGGAAGATCCGCAAGGCTGCCGAGCCATTCCTCAAGTGGCTCGAGGAGGCCGACGAGGAGGAGTCCTCTGAGGAGGAGTAAATAGCCCCTCGGCCCTGCATGAGTGTCCTCTCAGGAGGCTCGAATTGTCAGGAATTCGGCTTGTTGAAGGGCTGTCTGCTTTCAAGAAGAGTGTCGGGTACGTCTGCAAAAAAGTTGAAGGGACACAAGATTGAAACATCACTTGGATGGCATGGTACTGTAGATTGATAGCTTTTGCTTCCTGGCTGCTCTTTCGAGAACTAGTACTTTCAAACATGCAATCTTCTCCAACACCTATATGTACACAGCGTACATTATACATCATCTGTTCCTTGTCGTACAACCGTAAGAGAGCGTCTGAAAGAGCTTGCGCCGCCACGACAAGTGCGTGTAAAACATCCAGTGATATGTTCGAGACAACAAATCATGCGGTGCAGGTTCCGTACTTTGGTTGACACCCAGCACCGCAGTATGCTGCCGTATTTCCGCTATAGCAGATTGTATCAGCCAGTTTCTGGAAGCGCAGCAACAACTTGAGTCCTTGAGAAGACGTACCAATATCCGTACTTTGAGCAGCAAGTCTTTGTTCCGTAGTAGAGACAAGTCGCATTATAGCTTGGGCCACACAGACCGACAGTAGTGTTCGTGAGGGTCTCGGAGGTGGGATCACAAGTTCCGTACTTGGGGTTGCAGCCAGTGCCGCAGTACGCCGGAGACGAGCCGCTGTGGGCATGAAGTGTTAGCATTTTTACAATTCAGGCCAGGTCGAGCTTAGAGGGGGAAGGGGAAGAACGTACCACCACCCATAGGCGGAGCAGCAGTTGCCGTAGGCGGAGCCTTTGCAAGTATACCCGTTGGTGCCGCCGCAGCTCTGATCCTTGGAGATCGTGGCCGAGCCCGAGGAGCTCGCGGAAGCGGCGGCGCTGGAGGAGCTGGAGGAGCTGGAAGAAGCGGCAACGCTGGAAGTTGTCGTTACTGGTACCTTGATCGGCGGCCCCGTGGTCGAAGAGCTCGAGCCCGCGGACGACGCTGCAGCTGATGACGATGCTGCTGAAGATGCTGCGCTGCTGCTGCTGCTGCTACTGCCGCCGGTGTTGTTGCCAGCACCGCCGGCAGGAGTGCACGCGCCGCCCGAGCCCGCGGACCGGTACCAGTTCTCCTTGGGGTCGCCGAGACACTCACCCACAGTGACGAGCTTGTAGCCGCGGTCCTTGGCCGTCTGGACCATGTAGTCGGTAAGGGTGGTGACGGTCTGCTCATGGGTGTCGTGGTTCAGGACGATGTAGCTGTTCGACGTGGAAGTGTTGGACACGCCAGACGAGTACCTGTTCTTGGAGACCTGGATCAGCGTGGGAGAGTCGTTCTCGTAGTCCTTGGTGTCGAGGTTGGTGCTGATGATGTGGTAGCCGAGCTGGCTCATGAGGCTCATGCAGTTGGAGCCGCACGACAGGAACGGCGGGCGCATGTACGTCGGGAACCAGCCAAAGATGTTGCGAAAGGCCATCTCGTTGTAGATCATCTCCGTCTTGCGGATCGTGCTGTTGGCCGCCTCGAGGTCCTGGTGCGTCCAGGTGTGGTGCGCGATCTGGTGGCCCGAGTCGTACGTGCGCTTGACGATGGCGGCCCACGAGTTGCCGCAGCCGTCGATCTCGCCCTTGCCCACGTTGTTGCCGGAGACGAAGAAGGTGGCCTTGACGCCGAGGGTGTCCAGCTTGTCGAGAAGCTCGCTCGTGAAGCTCTCGGGGCCGTCGTCATAGGTCAGTGCGATCTGGCCGGGCGAGGTGCACTGGGTGATGATGGTGCCTATGCTGCCATGTCAGTTCCGGGTGCTGTTGGAGCGTTGCCTGCTCCGGGGTGCCTGCTCCGTGGGAGAATAACACGTACCATAGGGTACACTCCCAAGCTTGGGACGAGCAACATTCTCCGTGGAGTCGCCGATTGGCTTCTTACTGGACTCTTGTGATGAGCTCTTGTGCCATTATCTGGGGGCCGCTCCGTCGTCAACTCGCAACGCCACTTACAAGGTATCACATCCACTGCTGTAAGTGAGCTGGCAACCAGGAGCGGCGCAATACTCCTCGGTGGTGCCACAGAAACCCGACTCAGAACAGCAACCACCCGAAGGGCACGAGCCGACGCCGGAGCCGCAGGAGGCTCGCTTTTCCAACAGTTGAAACCCTTCGTCCAGGAGAACGTGTGCGAAGCCCACCTTCACCCGCACTGCCAGGGCGAGGCTGAGGATGATGGGGACTCTCATGGCGTTGTCAATAATTACTCACTCTCGTATTTTCCTCAAGCAGTGGCATCAATTCGGCGGATCGGTCTTCCGGCCGGAGGCGTAGGGCTACCTGCCGTTGCATTTTTATAATTCTTGCCGGGAACGCTCCCTCTGCCGCGGCGCCATGTCGCACGGCATTGAGATCCGCGCGGCCGCCGTCAGAGCCGGTCTCTCCCCCCAAGCTCCAGCTCCATGCGCCGTCTCGTCAGCTTGATAGACGGCGTGCAGGAGGTTTGAAGCAGTTTTCGTGGCTCAACGCTTCGTGACATGGTCCCGGCGAAGCTTCAATAGCCGCGTGCCTTGGTGGCGCACCACTTTGGACAGCGCTTCAGCCCAACGATACCAAGCACTCGGTTTTCGGGCCATTGCCAGCAGTCAATCGCACGCGGGGCCGGCAGTGCTATTCCCTTTTGGCTTCATAGCTGGACAAAGAGGGAATGCCCCCCTCCGTTCTAAAGTGCTGCATCGCGCTCGATGGGGGTCTCGATGACAGACGCGTCGACCGGCCAAGTCGCCTGTTTCCTTGGCAGCTGAATTGGAGTCCCCGCGCTGAAATGTTTGAGGACGAATCTGGAATACTACTGTGGGATCTCTAACCAATTGGGATAATAAGACGGGTCTCAGATTGACACATTCAGGAAGTGGCCAGCCGTGAGCTCCGTAGAGTGAGCCACATGAGCGTTGGGGTTGTGTGATGCCTTTCTAATAAGGCTGGGTTGTGAGAGGCAAAGTAGACTCGACGGCGAAGCCACGTCGCATGCCTCGTGATAAGGTGTTAAACCCGTCGTCTGGAGGTGGCGTTGGGTGAAAGTGCCGTCGCTCCCAGCGTAGTTTTTGGGCATTGTGGGAACCGTTGAGCCCAGGCTATAGTATCGCAAGAAGTTAACGACATGCATTTTGCCGGGCTGCCATCTTCACCGGTTGAGGCATAGTGACGACGTTGGATGCCTGACCTGTGTCGCGTACATCAAACGTCATGCGAAGCGTGGCACCGTAATTTGTGGTTGTACAACATACTTATATCACGGACTGGCGCGGGGGAAAAGCCCCGAGCTGGCGCCTCTCCATGACCGCATGGGTACTACTTACAAAGCCAAAATCATAGCACCAGAGTCACCGTGTCGTGTCCTCCGTGCTGTAGACTCTCCTCGAAAATCTTGCCTTCACTCTTTCTTGCATGGCAGGCACGTGCTATGGGCATTCGATTCTGAAGGTGAAACTAGGCTGAACCATGATGAATGCCAGATAGCCCTGATGTCAAGAACGTTGCTGATGCCCCGTAAGTTCCGAATGCTTCCTTTCTAAACTCCGAGCGCGATCCCTCATCCTGGTATGATATACATGAAGCATGAAGCGGCCCCAGCCGTCTCTCGCCGCCGCAAGCCAGATTGACCCTTGCTCAGGTCTTGACAACGATGGATGGGCCCTCGGAGTCAACACGCTCACCTTCCGGCTTCTCTGGCTGGGCGTCGGTCATGTTTGTGTCGCCGTCAGGCTGTTCCGCGCCATCGCCTTGTGCCTCCTCGCCACCGTCCGTATGAGCCTTTGCATTGGCAGCATCGCCGTTGGTTTCCCCGGCGACATTGGTGTTGGAATCGACAATCACTGTATCCTCACCGCCTTGCGATTGCGTCGCTGTTCCGGCCTCACCAGATGCCTGTTTGAAGACGTAGGCACTGAGAGTTTGTACGGCTGACTCAATCTCATCCTCCTGAATGACCTTGTCAAATAACTCCGCAACCTTACCCTCGTCCGGCGGCGCGGTTTGCTTGGCGAGGAAGGCCGTTATTGCCGCCTCGTCGTGGCCGGAGCTCGCGAGGCGTTGGCGCAAGGCATCGGCAGACGAGGGGTTGTCTAGAACGTAGCGTGCCTCGAAATCCATGTCCTTTGCGAACTGAGTGGCCTAGGGATTAATGTTAGCCGCAATTGTTATCAATGATAGAGCCACCAGGAAGCTTACCTCGAGATCCAATTCAATGATCGGAACTTTGCCAGATTCCGTGACAGCTTCAACTGCCTTTGTGCTGGTGCCGTACTCAGTGCCGTCCCGTGTGCCATATTCGAGCAGGCGATCGCCATCCCGAAGCTGATTGAACTCTGGAACGGTGACGAAATGGAAGTGTTTGCCCTTCACTTCGCCGTCGAGTGGTTCCCGTGTGGTGTGTCGCACCACGGGTGTGAAAACGCCGGTATGGCGCTCCATCAGTTTCGCCACCAGCGCCGACTTGCCTGCCCCGGCGAGGGTGCAGACGATGATTGTGCCGCGGTCTTCGGGCATATCCTCTTCTCGGGCCGCATCCTCTTCCATCTCGTCCTCGTCGCCATCTTCGTCAAGTTCCTGAAACACAGGTTCAATGGTCTTGGGGTCGTCGATCTTATCAAACGCCGCCAACTTCATGCGTCCGGCTATGCGAAGGGCTCTCCAGCTCTTGCTAGCCTTGCCGGCTACTGCATCGGCCTTGGTCTGGTCATTTGTCGGCATGCTGATCTCGAAGTCGTCATCCGCGATCTTTCTCTTGAAGTCGTCAAGCTCTGGTAGTTGATATCTCTCTGCTGACCGGAGGTTATCCATCGCCAGCTTGCGGTCGTCATCTCGCAGAAACTCCATGGATACTGAGCCCATCGGTGTTTGCCGAAGTCGCTTGTTTGTGGCCATACGCTGGGCCACGCCCTTGGATTCGTTGAACGACTCGTCGGAGACGGGCTCCCGCTGAATAGGCGGGCAACTGGCCATCTTCCAAAAGACCCAGTTCTTGTCCCTAGCCAGCACAGTTTCGACCATCCTGTAGAAGTATGGGCCATCAGGCCCTCTCTTCAGGTAGTCCGAGATTGTCATCTTCATGTCTGTGGCCCATTTCGTCTAGGGAGGGTTAGTGATGACGATTCAATCAGAATCATGGACGAGTACGAACGTTTTCATCATTCAGTTGGTCGTTGTACATGACTGATTTGTTGGAAGCGACCATGTTTGCCAGCTTCTCTTTTGCGCCTGCAGACATGGACAAGATGAAGTCGGTGATGATGAGCGCCTGGACCAAGACATGCCTCCGGAAAGACAAATCGCCTATCTGTTGCAAGAGTCAGCGCTCGCATAACTTGGAGTGTTCTGGAGAGGATTCTACTGCACCTCTAATTCGAAAAGATCTTTGCTCGTCAGATACTTGGGGTTGAACGTCTCGGGGGTATCGCCGGGTTTTTCATCTTCCTCCTCTCTTTTGCGTTTCAAATTTCTCCTCATGTTTTCGGACGTCCTCGAGGACATGGGTCCTTCGGCGCTCGTCAACGCATGGAACGCTTTCATGGTGGCATCCAAGCTGGTTTTAAACTTGTTGAAATGGGCAACGTCGAATAGCTTCAACGGCTGACTGAAACTCTCTTGTAACGACCAGAATAGAGGGTAAAGAGCGTCGGGCTCGAGTGTGTCCTTGGAACCAAACGAGACCCCTTTCGCAGTGGTCTTAGAGTCCGGAGACTCCTTTGGTGTCTTCGCTTGGTCGTCGATATCCATCTTCGTTTCTCCCTCCAGATCATCCGTCTCATACCTCGTGACATTTTCAACGTGGTATTCGCCTCGGAGATTCACAGAGCTCCTGTCGCCGAGAGGAAAGCTCTGGAAGAGAAAGATGAAGACCCTGCCGCAGAAGGCCGTGTCCTCGGCGCGAGAAAGGCGGCGCAAAAGTTCATTACAGCTCCGCAAGATGACAAGCTGTTTTTGCTTGAAGTGATTGACTGTAATGCGATCGCGTCTCGACTCGAGATAATCGAAAACCTTTCGGCATCCGGCGATCGTTTGGCTGTCCAGCAGCTCTTCCACCAGCCAGAACATCAAGGCCGGGTCGCACTGGCCATTGTCTGATAGCATGGAAAGAACATCTAGCAAATTCCACATCTTGACAAATTCCGGCGAGTCGATCGAAGTGGAAGCCTGTGAAAGACATTGTCAGTTTTGGCGTGCAGCTGTCGTCTGCCAGGTACTGACAATGAGCTGGTCAAACAAGTCCCTCGCGGCCGTCTCAACCACCGCGAACTGTCGAGACTTGTCAACCCCTTGTGTGGCCTCGCCAGGTTCATCGCTGGCTGCGACATCGCTTGTTGATGCTGCGATAATGCGCGACGATAGATCTATGAAGTCGGACGGGCTGACGGCGGGTTCGATGGTGTCGGTCTGCTTCGCGGCGGCGGCCTCGCCGAGGAGATCGTCGAAGAGCTTACCGACGCTCACCACGGCGGGAACGCCTGGGTTTCCGACGTCAAGCGCAGGCATTCTGACGAGCGACCGAGGCGATTAGGCGGCGTGTGGCCTGGTCATGCAGGCGTCGGCGCCGGGAAGCTTCCTCCTGGCTCCGTCTCCTTCTCGATAGAGTGACGGGCGCAAGGTACAGCGGGTGTAGAGTATCGCGCGTTGTACTGTGTTTCGTGTCGCGATGAGGATCGGGCTCGTCAACAGGCGGGCGGTTTGGTGCTCCTTTCTCCCTTTGAGCAGAGGTGATGATGTTCGTGGATGCGCAAGGCTGCGTTTGAGCTCAAGGGACGAGGAGGTTTCCTTGCAACAATAGGTACTAGCGGAGCCGCCAACAATGGGGGGCAGCTGCCGTACCCAGCCACTAGCGGGTACCTCGGAGGCAAGGTGCGCCACGGTCGTGGGTCGGCGCAAGGCTGAAATTTTGGCTGCCTTCCCAGCTCGGACTTCAACGGGCCACAGTACCAGTGTAGCTTCGCTGGCGACAACAACATCGAACTCCTCGCCTCCGACGCCGACCCAAGACCATCATCCACGAACCGACTCTCGCTCTCTTATCCGCATCAAACTTGACTGTGTCTCGTGGCCCATGACGCGAAGCGCTCGTGGCAATGCCTAACGCGAAGCGGCAGAAGGGCGGCGGCGGCGCAGCCAAGACGAAAAAGACCCAAGAGCCGGTCCAAGACCTTAAGGATGGCCGCCCGACGCCTGCCGAGGTCGAGGAGGAGGAGCATCAATTCGTGCAGCTAGCGCGCAAACATTGGCTCAAGTCCGGCAGGACGGCAGCGAAGCCCAAGGTCAAGAATGATGTCCTCAAGCAGGGCCTCTGGGATGTCTTGGAGCGCGAGGGCTTCCAGCACAAGTCACTGGTCCTTCTTGAGAGCTTGCAGACGCTGGAAAGGTAAGGTTCCCCATGTATTGGCGCGCGGCGATGCCGTTGCTGACCTTTGATGATGCAGCTACTTGTGGCCTGGCTATACAGAGGAGTCATCCAACTACCACGTCCTGTTAATGGCCCTCATCGTCAACGTGAAGAGGCGCGAGCACCTGGAAACGTGGAGTAAGTGAAATGGCTTCGAAAAACTGGCTGCCGAAACTGACGCGGTATCATTAGGCATTTTCGAAGACAAGCCCGAGAGTTTCTCGTCCATGTTCCGACGGATCCTATCACTGATGCTCGACCGCACCTTATCCGCGACCGTCCGAACACACTTGCTCTGTTTCCTTATTTTTGCCTTTCAAAATTTGGACTGCGCCATTGTCAGGAAGGAGTGCGCCCCCTTGGTCTCGATCGGGATCTGGCAGAATCTCTCCAGTGAGAATCAGAGAGAAGCGCATCTGGATCAGGCCACACACCTGAGGAAAGCCTGGCGAGCGTCTCTGAAGCGCTACGACGCGGCTGATGAGCCGACAAAAGCTCGGTTGCGCTTTGAGAGATCGTGGCTGTACTCACTCCTGCTCGACTTCTTGAGCCTCCTGTTTGACGGCAACGGCAAGTCCGGTACGCTAGCAACGAAGAACCCCCACACTTCACTTGGTCTAACATGACGCAAGACGCTGCACTTTACTGCGAAAGATTCGTTGAATTCATCTCGGACTTGCAGAGTCAACTGCCGACAAGACGCTATGTCAACGCTCTTCTCCAAGACTTGCACCTTCTACCCGTCATGAAGTTGTCTCCCATGTACAATGACGAGAACAACGCCCTTCTGAGAGACCTCCACGATCTCTTATCACACTACACGTACTTCACCATTGACGATCAAACAGGCATCCAGCTTGGCCGTTCAGAGGCGTATGACAGGCACTGCGCATCTTTGGGCAAGCTGCAGCGTGTGGCTCTCAAGCATTTCAAGGAAAAGTTGACCGTCCTCGCACTCTCCAACTATGGTGCCATAGACCAAAGGGACGAGCTGGAGGCGTTACTGGCTCCCTTGACCGACGACGAGCTGGCCGAGCTCGTGAAATTGTTGGGAGCTCGCATAAGCTATCCCGATAGCCTCAAGTTGCCTATCGACCGCAAGTTTCTGCTTGAAATCTTGATGGGCAAATACGAACGCAGGAAGACGTTCCAGGAGGCAGCAAAGGACATGGCGCTGGTGCCGACAGAACAGACGCTGTTTGACGCCGGCTTTCAGCGTGCCGATGCCTACGATGGATCACACCCGCTGGCTCTGCCGAAGCTGAACCTGCAATACTTGTCTGCTGGAGATTTCCTCTGGCGCGCACTGGTATTGTACCGACTGGAGTCGTTTTACGGAATCCGCAAAGACATCGAGTCTGCTCTGCGCCGCCTCCGCCCGGAACCACGACAGCCTGGGGAGACACACTTTGCCGGATTCTCGAAGATGGCCATGCCGATATCGAAGCCCACGTAAGGAATCTCATATGTCTGATAGCCCTGTTGGTCATCGCTAACTTGCCCCGCAGAATACTTGAAGTTGTTCCACCTCTGGTGGGCGACGAGCATCCGTCATTGGTGAAAGCTGAAGTACTGGTGGACGTCCGGCGACTGGGGGACAATGTGCGACGCGAATGGGACTCATTACGACCCGACGATGTCGTCTTTTTGCTCGCAATTGAGCCACCGCCAGCAAAGTCCATCACGAACGGGGGAGACATCCAATCCGAGTCCGAGAAGCTTGGCATCGTGTCTGTCCGAGCTGCCGAGATTGTGCAGATCACGGATGACAGAGGGCGTCATGCTAGGGAAGGCGCGGGAAACCTGGATGGCAAGCGACGAATACAGCTCAAGCTTGACCCGCGAACCTACAACAAGGATGCCGAGCGGGCGGCAGCTGGAAAGCCAGATGTGTACGGGCGTACCAACGTCCTCCTCAGGCGAAACCGCAGAGAGAACAACTTCAAGCCTGTCTTGGAGTCGATCCGCAACCTGGTTTTGTCGGGGGCGCCAGTGCCATCGTGGCTGCACGAAGTCTTCTTGGGCTACGGCGACCCAGCAGGCGCCAACCACAAGAATCTCCCCAATCGCATTAAGAAGCTTGACCACCGAGACACGTTTCTTGACTGGCAGCACCTCGTGGAAAGTCTTCCCGGAAAAATTATAGAGCCTAGCGACGACGTATCCAGCAGCTTCGGACCGCCATATGTCCTGGAGGAAGTGTCGCAGCCGAAAGAGGCGCAAGCAGGGAAAGTATCCAAGAAGCGACGCCGAGATGCTGAACCGACCCTCAAGGCTGAGGTTGAGACACTCAAAGTGTCCACGTACAAGCCAGCCAACAATGGTCCCTATCTTGTCGATGCACCGAAGCTGAACACGGTTCGCTTTACGCCGGCTCAGGTCGAAGCGATCATGTCTGGGACGCAGCCCGGACTGACGGTCATTGTTGGTCCTCCGGGGACAGGCAAGACGGACGTGGCCACACAAATTATCAACAACATCTATCACAATTTCCCAGAGCAAAAGACGTTGCTCATTGCACACAGCAATCAGGCGTTGAACCAGCTGTTTGCCAAGATTGTCGCCCTTGATATCGACGAGAGACACTTGCTTCGTCTGGGTCATGGCGAGGAAGACCTCGACACAGATGGCAGCTTCAGCAAGCATGGACGTGTTGAGTCCTTCTTGGACAACAGGCAACGGTTTTTGGCGGAAGTGAAAAAGCTGGCTATCAGCCTCGGTGCCCCCGGCGCCCACGATAACTCGGCCGAGACCGCAGGTTACTTCAACAAGGTGTACGTGCAGCCAGCGTGGACGGGATTCTTGCAAACGGCAGAATCTGAAGACTCAACTGTGTCGGATATCCTGCAAAGCTTTCCGTTCCACGGGTATTTTGCGGATGCCCCGCAGCCCTTGTTCCCACCAGAGGCAGACAAGGCCCAGATCTTGGAGATTGCGAATGGCTGTTATCGGCACATTGCCAAGATCTTTTCTGAGCTGGAGGATATTATTCCCTTTGAGATTCTTCGTCGCGAGCGAGACAAGGCCAATTACTTGCTCACCAATGAGGCTCGCATCATCGCCATGACGACGACACACGCTGCCATTCGACGAGGCGAGATCGCGTCTCTAGGCTTTCACTATGACAACGTCGTGATGGAGGAGGCGGCGCAGATCACCGAAATCGAGACATTCATGCCTCTGGCAATGCAGAAGCCTGTCAACGGACAGATGCCTCTTCAAAGAGTTGTTCTCTGCGGCGACCACTTCCAGAACTCGCCCGTCATTCAGAGCCTGGCCTTCCGGCATTACGCCAACTTGGAGCAGTCGCTGTTCTCAAGGCTTGTTCGTCTGGGTGTCCCCACGGTCACGTTGGACCAGCAAGGCAGAGCGCGACCATCCATTGCAAAGTTGTACCAGTGGCGATATCCCAAGCTGGATAACCTGCCAGAGGTGCAGAGCCAGCCTGTATTCCAACGGGCCAATGCTGGCTTCAAGTTTGACTACCAGTTCATCGATGTGCCTCCGTACAAGGGCAAGGGAGAGTCGGAACCCACCCCACACTTCATTCAGAACCTGGGCGAGGCCGAGTACGCCGTGGCGATATATCAGTATATGAGGCTACTCGGCTATCCTGCGGAGAAGATTACGATCCTGACGACGTATGCTGGGCAGAGAGCTCTGGTCAGAGATGTGTTGTCTCATCGATGCGCGCGAAACCCCATCTTTGGCTTGCCTAAGGCGGTCGCGACGGTGGACAAGTACCAGGGCGAGCAGAATGATTGTAAGTTTGACCCGAAAGCCTACAAGGATTGCCACCCGGCTGACAACTTGGAACAGATATTATTCTGTCGCTCACACGAACGTCGCGCGTGGGCTACCTCCGGGACGTACGCCGCATGACAGTGGCAGTTTCGCGCGCTAGGCTGGGGCTTTACGTGTTGGGCCGACGTGAAGTTTTCGAAGCCTGCCCAGAGCTGCGACCGGCGTTTGACCTCTTGCTCGAGCGGCCAGACAAGCTCATGCTCGTGACGGGCGAGCTGTGGCCGACTGAGCGGCCTAGCGCGGAAGACGGGGCCCCCTTGGAAGGAGAGGTCGCCATGGAGAGCGTGGAGCATCTCGGCCAGTATGTCTTTGAGATGACCAACACGAAGTTAAAGCAGCTGGAAGAGGAACAGGGTGCGGCATTCACGGCGGAGTCTGCAGGTGCAAGAGAGGACGATCAGGGCACGTATTACGACCATGACGAGGAGGGCGAGCAGGTGCTGGAGCCAGACATTCTAGAGGTGCGGGAGGGAGACAAGGCATAGGCGCAACATGGATGTGATGTTTGCTTTGAGCCTTACGAAGAGCCTTGCAGAGAGCGGCCATGTACGAAGTACTATCCATGTCCTGCGATTACACGAAGAAGCGCGACGCCATCCGCCGTCGACTCATGTTAGGAATACCACAGTAGAAGACAACCTTGTTCGTGGCGGATCCGCGGGGCACCTGTGAGTCGAGTTGTGGGTGTGTGATGCAAAGATCGGGAAACGTGCAGCAGCGGGAGATGTACATGCGAGCGTCGACAAGGATAGATGCAAGCAAGCGCGCTAGAATGGTTTGGGCCACAAGAGATGTACTTGCAGGAGTCCCCCGTGAGTCACCAGGAGCCCAAAAGGCGACGGTGACGTGGTTATGAATGCGGACAGACATGCAGGTGGGAGCCCTGTTGGCGAGTTTGGGGAACATGGCGCGGAGTTAACGGAGCCCAGGGCGTTTGCTACGGCCTTGTGGCGCAGGGCAGAGGCAACCTACATACGTAGGCAAAGGCAGAGGCAAGGCAGGGCAGGGCTTCGGTTTGCCCATGACAGTGCTGCTGCACCGTGTGATGCACGGCGATTGGATTGATTCGACACATGTTCCATTGCTTCGGTTGGCTCGCGCGGTGCATCGATGCATATACGCGTGCGTAGCCATTAGTGCGGCAAGTGTGTCTGCCTGCTCGTAGGTCATGAAGCCCTGTTGTTGTTGTTCGGGCAGCGTGGCGAGCGCACAAGGCAAGGCAAGGGAACGAGGAGAGGTCATGGATGGTTCGCTGACGTCGGCGACGGCGCCCGTCGCGACTCAGTCAGTAGCCATGGGCGGCCCCCGGAGAAGACGAAGGGGAGACAGACCCTGGCGGCGGGAGGCGAAAGGGAGGTGGGTGGTCAAGGTGGTGTGCGGCGAATGACGGCCGCAGCAGTCGACGGGCATCGCAGACTCTGATGCTGGGACTGGGACTCTGGGGTGCGCCGGACCGGGCCTCCGCTCTCCGCTCCACAGGCGGGCGTCGGGTGCTGCAGCTGCGCTACGTTCCCGTACCTCGCTAACTGCGAGTACATTGGGGCACTGGAATTGCCATTCTAGGGCATGTCATGGCACGGCTCTCATGACGCTGCCATGTGTTGTTGTGTTGAACCTTTGGGGGAACGGACGGGCCACCCCGGTACCCAAGCTCGGTCGCGCAGGGCAGCCAAAGCGAGCGGCCCGTGGTAATAGCTTTTGTAGTTACCCTTGGAGCCCACTGTCGATGGCCGCCAAAGGGGTCTTACAAAGGCTGACCCGAGAGGGCGAGGGAAAACCTGGGCGCGAGGCGATTCGTTCCACAGCGCGCCGCCCCGGCGGGCTTGGTCGGTCCATTGTGTCTGTTTGTTTGTCTTGAATATTTACGCCCGCGCCACGGCTGCTCCCCTCTACTGCCTTGACGACGACGGGAACGGCGTCTTTGAGTTGCAGACGGTCTTGCGCGCTGGGTCACAAAGTCATGCGCAGCGGGTTTTTGTCGCGGCGTCCCTATATTAAAAAAAGATTTCCCCAGAAGCAAAGACATGTGATGGTACTCCAGCCCGAGTGTCAGGGTGCCGGCCCCCTTGCAACTGATTCTTTGCATGCTACTCCTCCGTTATAGCAGCAGGCACGTCACCGGACACTCAAGCGCGCAGTGACTGGGCGAGGCTCCATTCGCTCGCCTTCCTATTGTGTTTGCTTTTTTCGACGTTTGTACAGTATGTACAGTATGTCGTGGTATGTAGTTTCTTTTTGTGTGCCTGGCCGCGAGACCCAACGGGCTGGGCTGGGCTTGCGTGTGTGGCTCAGGTTGTCGCACGCGCGTTGCGCCTGAGAAAGGGCACGAGGGAACAACAGCCCACAAAGATGCGAGAAGAGGCAGAGAGAAAAAAATTAATTCAACCAACAGCTCAAAACCCCAGCCAGCTCAGTTTCCTCCTCTGAGTCTCCGTGAAGGGCCCGTCGCCGTCGGCCTTTCACCGCCATCGCCTCCCGACTGGGTGTGACAGGCTCCCCTCCGCAAGTTGCACCATGTTTGGCGCGTCGCGTATGGCACGACGGTGGCCCGTGCCGTTCGGGCACTGTTGCGTATTACCCTGCCTGCTCGCAGGTTTTGGTTTGCGAATGGCTGGCAGCCCTGGCCGACACTTTTAGCATGTACTCTGTACAGTACAGATAAATAAAGAAAAGGCAGAGGCAGTGCAGTCACAGCTCTGGGCTGCGCCAGAGAGAGAAAGGATCCGACATCTGCGTTGCTGTATAGTACAGTACAGTACAGAACGAACAGACAGACATATCGCAAACGCGCCGCGACGGGGCCGCGGCCGCCCACGGCGACCTGCACCTGGGCTGCGACACATGCATGGCTGCTGCCTTGTGGGCGTTGCGCAAAAAAGTGACACTTTCTTCCATGCGGCTGACGGCTCGCCCATCACTCATCGCCCATCCCCCATAGCCCGCCAGCAGACGGACGATCGACCGACTGACTGACTCCCTTGATACGGCCTGCCCAAGATGACCTGACTCACCTTACTAAGGATGACCTCGACCGTTCAGGCCGGGTCGTCGCATTCTACACGGTCAGCGCAAGCGCACGCGTGCGCAACATGCCCTGGAATTCGACTCCGGATCCCAATCCAAATTTCGATACCCGCGGATCAGGTGGCGCGCTTGGCGGCCCGTAGCCTCATCACATCGCTCGTCCATTTTCTGGAGACGAGCTGCTGCCGCTGCTAAGCTCCACCTGGCACTGAGCATTTTTTTTTTCTCCTCTCCTCCTTCCCAGGTTCCCTCCCGTTCCCCTTGCGACCACCAATGCGCCGTCCCACCTTCTGCCATGATGCGGGACAAAAGTATACGTGAACAAGTGTCAAGTACCTTGGCCAAGTTGAAGAAAAAGGAACAGTTAAACCTCGCGCCATTTTCCTCGTACGTAGCAGGTCCGCAAACTCGTGTGTCGTGATTGCCTCGACGACCGTCCCATTTAAAGCTGCTCAGGGTGTGAGGCGCGCGCGCGCGCGCCGCCGCCGCCGCTGCTGCGACAAGCTTTGCCTTCATCGGCGCCTCGTACACGGTGCGGCGCGATGCCCCTGCTCCTGTAGCAACTGTAGAGTTTGGCCGTCCGTCGCTAACTATAGCCCTGTGCAAAACCTTGGCCTGCGCACGGTGCGTCTCGCGCGCCTGGCAACGCGGTCACTGGGGTTGGCGAGGTACCTCCTCCGCCTCACTAGGTGGCCTGGCCTACGCCTGGCTTTCTGGCCCTCCACGCGCTGGGCGTGGGCAGCGGGCAGTGGGCAGTGGGCGTGGGAGATAATGTGGGTGGGTTTCG